CCAGTCATAAGCTAACCTTATATACTTTACCTATTACCACTATTTATGTCATCTTGTATTTTGCACACCTCTCTCTCTCTCCCTGCTGCTACACCACTGTACCCCTGTTTAATGTCATATATATATAGATATACATACATTCTATGGTGATATGTTGATGAGGAGGGAATAAGAATAAATTAATAAAGGAATTAATAATTAATAATTAATAAAAATATATAAATAAATAACAAAATAATAAATAAATAACAAAAGATAAGTCCTTTTCCCACATGCATCTCAAGCATAAACTTTTAATGCACAACATCCCAAACCTGTTTTTAATGCACCACACAGTCACATTATGCAGGGATGCTGCTGGAAGAGCAACACTAATCATCTACCAACTGGCTCCCATCTCTGTGTGGAATGAGAAGACTAATGCTCAAAATTGATTGATTGGATAAAGATTACTTACGTTCATACCAAAAACCTTAATATGCCTAGTTATGGCTCTGCTACCCTCTTCACCAACATTTACGACCACCCCCCCTCCCTTGGATTATAGCACCTCAACTCGTCCTATGTTTTTACTATTATTATTACTATTATTATTAGTCTCTCTCTTTTCTTTCTCCCCTCTCTCACTACTCAATAAAAGAAAATCTTCAACACCCTCAGATACCTATTCAATACACCAAAAGTGAACACGTACATACTGTACACACTTGCGCACGCTGAATCCCCCCCCCCCTGTCCCCCCTCCTGACCCAATGTAAATGCTTATATGTTATGTAGGTTCATGTCTAAATGTACAAATGGGTCTATAATGTCTGTGCTGTAATATATTGTATATGCCAATAAATAAAAAAATAAATAAAAATAGATGTTAGTTTGCTCCCCTATACTGCTGCACTGTGTTCAAGGAACAGGACAGAGCTGGACTTCCTGATGACCTTGTCCAGCTTCTTCCTGTCCCTCTCTGTGATGCTGCTGCTCCAGCAGACCACACCGTACAAGATGGCTGATGCCACCACAGAGTCATAGAAAGTGCACAAAGTATAGTTAAAATCTCAGTTCACTTTTATTTAGTAGTAATTCTAGGCACTCAGAATAGACTTTTAACAGTCGAGTTATCAATTGATAAAATTATCAGGGATCAAGAATGGGAGGGACAGAGGGGGTGGGGGAGTCCATCACGGAGGGTGGGGGCGTTGGGACTGTGCTCTTCCTGAAGTCCACAATCATCTCCACTGTCTTCTGGGCGTTCAGCTCCAGGTTGTTACCACTGCACCAGGACACCAGCCGGTCCACCTCCCTCCTGTAGGCGGACTCATCATTGTTGGAGATGAGTCCAATGAGGGTGGTGTCGTCCGCGAACTTGATGAGCTTCACAGAGTCGTGGCTGGAGGTTCAGTGGGTGGAGGTGCAGTGGGTGGTGTACAAGGAGAAGAGTAGGGGAGAGAGAACACAGCCCTGTGGGGCACCTGTATTTGAATCGGGCTCATTGAGCTGGGAGAGCTTGTCCTGGAGCAGGGATGACAGGATGGTGTTGAAGGCAGAGTCCACAAACAAGTGGTAAGTAACAAGTGGTAAGTAAGTAAGTAAGTAATGTTTATTTATATACCGCCTTTCACAGACAAGGGTCACAAAGCGGTTTACAATTGTTATTATTTTTTTGGGCATTTGTCCTCTCACTCCACAGAGAGTGGGAGCGGGGTCGCCGAACAGGAGGCGCATGCCAGACCTATTGTACATATTTTTAGTGGTAGGGGAAACCGGAGTACCCGGAGGAAACCTACGTAGACACGGGGACAACATGCAAACTCCACTCAGAAAGGCCCTGGTCCGACCGGGATTCGAACCCAGGACCTTCTTGCTGAGAGGCGAGAGTGCTATCCACTCAGCCACCGTGCCGCCCAAGCAAGTTTGAGCAGTCATATTGACTGACACGCAGGCTAACAGGTGTGAAACCAGCTCGGTGATTGCTACCGTTTGTCCTTGGGCAAGACACTTAGGGCACGATCACATAGGTTTTTACAAACGAACTGGGCCAAGTGGCCCGGATCGTCGCCACAGGGGTATGAAAACGGACCGCGGTCGCATGAACGTGTTGTCTGAACCGTGCCAGGGAAATTGTGCTGTAGTTCAACACTCGGCCCAGCTGGTGGCGCTAATACTAACACCAGTGACTACCTCGTTGCCCTGGTTGAGATCTGCTTCTTTTTCTGTTTACATTCTGCTACTGTAGCTAACAGCTACTGTAGCTAACAGCTCAGTACGGATCGCGTTGTTTAGGGAAAGATACATCTCACACTTGTCCAAATTGCTCTGATGCAAAGTGCAGCAGTTCAGTGGGTAACATGTGAATTTCATGGTTTTCATGGTTTGCACTGGTCCAGACAGGAGCAGAGAGGATTTATGGTCCGAACCAAGCAGATCAGGCAAAAATCCACTGGAGGAATGCTAATGCAGCATTTAGCATTTTACTTTGGTCCAGAGCAGAGAAAATGGTCAAACCAAGCGGCTACTTCACCATGTGACCACCTCTGCTGCTGTGACCTGTCCTGCTCCACCCAGAGGCTACTCCACCTCTGTTGCTGTGACCTGAAGGGCTATCTATCTACCTATCTATCTATCTATCTACTGTATCTATCTATCTAAGTAAATAAATGTGTTCTGTTCCCAGACTCAGTAGGGACGACCTTGCAAAGTATTCAGACCGCGTCGCTCTTTCTCATGTCAGACTTAAAAATCAAAAATGCTGCCAAACTGGTGACGTGACCTTTCCTTCTTTCTGTGATATCTGTCCTAGAAGCTTGAGTGAAATAAAACAGTCCAGAAGCCTTTGTGGGGAGACCCTGGCTAAGGTTCTCCAGTTCCACTTTTTTCACTTAAATGCAAAAAACCATATGTGGGGAAAAACTATTATAGCTCATAACTCTACTCAACCCATGCCCACGGCCAAACCAGTGGTGGTAGCATCATGCTGTGGGGCTGCTTTTACAGGAACTGAGAAAAGTTTCAGGGTTGATGGAATGGAAGATTGAGCCACAGGACATCTTTTTGAAGAAACGCATTTGGAATTTGCAATCTACAAACTGCTGTCCATAAATGCTCCTCATCTGATCTGTCCATCAGCTGTGGCCACTTCACCACAACCACGGGGCTTGTTGTTGTGAGTGTCAGGATTAATTGTGAGTTTCATTCGAGTGAGTTAGATAGTTTTTAACAGCATACAGTGGGGCAAAAAAGTATTTAGTCAGCCACCGATTGTGCAAGTTCTCCCACTTGTATATACCAACTAATAATGACCAAATAATGACAGAGGTCTGTAATATTCATCATAGGTACACTTCAACTGTGAGAGACAGAATGTGAAAAAAAAATCCAGTAATTCACATTTTTAAAGAATGTATTTGTAAATAATGGGTAGAAAATAAGTATTTGGTCAATAACAGAAATTCAACTCAAGGAGGTTTTGGCTCAAAATCTCACGATACATGGCCCCATTCATTCTTTCCTTAACACGAATCAGTCGTCCTGTCCCCTTAGCAGAAAAACAGCCCCAAAACATGATGTTTCCAACCCCATGCTTCACAGTAGGTATGGTGTGCAACTCAGTATTCTTCTTCCTCCAGACACGACGAGTTGAGTTTATACCTAAAGCCTAGCGTACATCGACAGAGAAACTGGGGACAACTAGTTGCAAGGCGGCTTTTGGCAACTGAGAGGAGATGGTGGGAGATGATCAGTTGCCGAAATCGGTCGATGTGCGCGCTCTTACAACTGGAGATGATCAGTCGGTCTCCAGTTTCAGTCAGTTGCCCGTGTTCTACTTTTCGGCAACTAGTTGTCCTCAGTTTCGGAGATATGACCCGATGTGCGCGCTCCATGCGCCGCTCCGACAACGTGTGTGTATTGCGTGTATTGCGAGCCCGCAACAGTTTATGTCAGAAAACACACTGTAGTTGAGGCCAGTTGCTGTCGATGTACGCGCTGTTATTCCCGAGACTGGTCTACTACTGGGAGTTGCCCGTTTTCGTCAGATTGTCGATGTGTGAGGGGCAGCAACTCGTATGCGACGGATATAATCAGTTGCCAGTCCGATGTACGCTAAGCTAAACAGTTCTACTTTGGTTTCATCTGACCACATGACATTCTCCCAATCCTCTGCTGTGTCATCCATGTGCTCTCTGGCAAACTTCAGACGGGCCTGGACATGCACTGGCTTCAGCAGGGGGACACAAATTTCATTTCATACAAAGGTTTGGATTTGCTCCATTGAGCTCCGTTAACAGGTGGGAGGGGCTAACTCCTTTTGTGACGATGGGATCCGAGTTTACCGTGACATATGTAATACAACTGATTGAGTGAGGCCCATAGATAAGATAAGATAAGATAAGATAAACCTTTATCAGTGGAGAAATTTCAGTGTCATCGTTGCACATTACAGCAGAGAAAGGAAATAAGAGCACTCAGATTGCACACATCAAAGTCTATTATTTAAGATAATAGACAATACATTTAAGATAAAATAAAATAAAATAAGAAAATCTGGGCTACAATTGCACTTGGTTCGGAGTATTTACAGATGTCTATATTATACATATATATTATACATATATTATACATATAGACTGTATATATTAAGACCTTTAGCATTTAGCCTAGCTTTAGCCATCTCCTTTGCCACTTAACAAAGCCATGTTTCCAAACCTCTGAAGATCAGCACAAAAGATGCTGGTGAAGTTTGGCTCGAACCTACAACACCAGCGCCATGAACAAGTCCTTCACAGATCCAAGTTAACAAAGCTATCTCCAGACTTTACACTGACAGAAAAGGGTCTCCCCTCTTCCAACTAATAGTGGTGTTATGGGAAAAAATATATATTTGGAAGTGTTTTAATAAAGTGATACAAGAATAAATTTAATTGAATTGACTTGAACTGGGCATTATTCCACAATCACCCACTTTTGTGCATTTTCACTTGTTTTTTGCAACAGGTTTGGACCAGGTCATGGAGAATGTGCCTGCAGATGGACCCCCCTCTCTGGGCTTTAGCCTGGGAGACTATGCCGTGTTTGCGGTCATGTTGCTGGTGTCTATGGGGATCGGACTGTACCAGGCCCTGAAGAAACCTGCAGACATCGCTTCTACGGCAGAGGACTTCTTCACTGGGGGCAGAAGTTTGCCTGCTGTCCCTGTGGGCCTGTCCCTTTGTGCCAGCTTCATGTCAGCCATCCAGGTTCTGGGAGTCCCCGCTGAGTCCTCAAGATATGGATTTAAGTTTCTCTACATGTGCCTGGGCCAAAGCCTTAATTCTCTACTCACAGCGATGATCTTTCTGCCGGTGTTTTATCGTCTGGGCATCACCAGCACCAACCAGGTCTTGTAATAGCAACTCATTAACCCCTTTGTTACACTTTCACTGAAAAAAGTAGAATCTTAATTAGATTTGTTGACTAAAAATAACATGAATGATACTTATTATTTGATAGCATGTTTTATTTATTTTTTGGCTTGAATGTCGTTTTTCATGTAATATAATTTTACTAGCTGTAGGACTAGCCTGGCCTTATCCATCCATTCCGTTCAATCATCATTCCCTGCATGTAACGTCTGGGTCTGGTCCCTGTGTTTGCGATTACAATCGGTTGAATTCCATCCGACCAATCAGAGAGCGCGGGAGGCGGGTGTTGTAGTTAGTTGTGGGTGACGTCAAGAGTTTGCATTGAACGGGCAGGTTGTAGTTTGGTGATGAAAGCGATAGTAAAGTATTCCGGTCTGGTTCTATCAAGAAATTGAAGCCGGAGCAAGAGGAATGTTTAGCAAATGTAATCGTGCTAAAGCTAGGTTAAATGCTAAATGCCTGACTCACGCATTACAAACGTCACAGTAAACTCAGATCCAATCGTTTCAATCTGCAAAAGGCGTTAACCCCTCCCACCTGTTATCGGAGTCAATGGAGCAAATCCAGACCTTAGTATGAAATGTAATTTGTACTATTGTGTGGTACGACCAGGCTAGTTCTAGGATAATAGTACTTCAAATTCTTATAAGAGAAAAAAGTCTGAGCAGTGAGTTTTTAAGCCTGTTTTTTTTTCTTATTTCCAGACAACTTTCCTTGTTTATATAAAATAAGTTTGTAATGCTTTAGTTTCTCAAAAATTTCTCAAAAATGTTTTAGAAATAGTAAACAATACTAGAGATGTATGTTTTTAAACCAGAATCATGTCATTTCGGGCTAGTATTACTTTCTTATTTTCAGAAAGTCATATTTTCCTGTTCACCAGATCATTTGTATTATTTTAAGCAGTATTTTACTTATTTTCACATCTTTTTTCTTCTTACTTTTTTCAAGGGCTTTCTTCCAGTGTTTTGACTCACAGTATCTAGTGGAAGCTTGGAACTGGAACTTAGTCAGGACACTCAGCAGCACGTGTCCTGACTAAGACCAGGGGGCGGGACCACATTACACCGGTTTTAAAATCGCTGCATTGGCTCCCCGTGTGTTTCAGGATTGATTTTAAGGTTCTCCTAATGGTTTTCAAATGTCTTAATGGTCTTGGGCCTTCTTATCTTTCAGAACTGCTTTTATCCTATGAACCCTCCCGGCCCCTGCGCTCCTCCGGCAGCAGACTCCTAACCATTCCAAAAGTCAGGACACACACTCACGGTGAGGCATCTTTCCAGCACTACGGCCCCCGTCTCTGGAAAAGTCTGCCGGAGGAGCTCAGGGCCGCAGAGAACGTTCATATTTTTAAAGCCAGGCTCAAGACACACCTTTTTAGATTAGCTTTTGATTAGTATTTATTAGTCCATTTTTATATATTCTATTTATCTTTTATTATTTATTATATTGCTATTGCTTTTATTCATGTTTTGTGTGATAGTTCCTTTCAGGCTCACATTTTAGTGTTTTACTTATTGTATTGTTTTTAGTATCCCCAGTGTTTCCTCTGGAGGAGCCCTCTGCGCTGGGAGCGGTGGTTGGCTGTGGGGGTCGGACTCTTGGACCTGGTGGGGGCCCGGGGCCTCGGTTTTGGGTCTCCTCTGGGTCCTGTGTCGTCCCCTTTGGCTATGGGCGGCTCTCTGCTCCTGGCGCTGACGGCTTCTAGGATGGCGTTTCTTCAGCCGGTTGCATCTGAACCCTGCCAAGTCTCTTATCATCGTTTTATTGTTTTATCGGTGCGTGTGTGTGTGTGTGTGCGCGTGGGTGGGGGGTGGTGGTGGTGGTGTTTGCTTGTGGTCTGGGGAGGGTCTGTTGGGCGGTCGGGGGGAGGGCATGGGCAGGATTGTTTTTTGGCCAAACTGTAAAGCACTTTGTGTTGCATTTTTTGTATGAAAAGCGCTTTATAAATAAACTTTGATTGATTGATTGATTGAAATCTACCTTTTTGGAGCATCGCTATCACTTGGCACTTTTAGCATTAGCATCTCAACAATTTGGGCCTATAATAAAAAAAAAACTAGGGGTTAGTGCTCCTACGTCTTAGAAAATAGAAAATAGAAAAATGTACAGTTCTTTCTTCAAGGAGTTTAAGAGTGTAGAAGTAATTTCAACCGCTGCTAGTAGACGGAAAGTAGATGGATCATCAACATCAACAAGCTAACCTAACCAGCATGGCTAGCATTGCAGTGATTACCTGCCATTTTAACACATCATCACAAAGCTATAGAGGATTTTCCATGGAATATTCTCTCCTCTGCACCTGTGTTCCTTTGATAGTGATAGTGCATGACTGATTAAAGGAGGTGCAGAAGGATCCGAGGAGAGATATTCACTTCATCTGTCTCTTTGTCGTAGTATCTGAAGCTGAGGTTCGGTCGGGGAATGCAGCTTTTGGGCAGTATCCAATTCCTCATGGCCACAGTGAGTCATTTGTGTTGCTCCTTTGTGATTCTTTTTTTTAATATACATTTGTTTACTGAAGAGTAAAATTTTCATCATACATATTTACAGATTACATTTTTTCCCAGAACCCCTGCACAATAGAACAAGATATATATATATATATATATATATATATATATATATATATATATATATATATATATATATATATATATATATATATATATATATATATATATATATATACACCCATACTTAAACACATACAGTACGGACCAAAAGTTTGGACACACTTTCTCATTCAATGAGGTTCCTTTCTTTTCATGACTATTGCTGTAGATCCACACCAGGCTGTGTAAGGGCTGTTTGACCGATGAGGAGAGTGATGGTGCTCTGGATTGGGTTCAGGTCCGTGGAGGCCCCCACGGACCTGAACCCAATCCAGATGGTTTTGGGGCTGGACCACGGAGTGAAGGGGCCAACAAGTGCTAAGCATCATGGGAACTCCTTCAAGACTGTTGGAAGTCTGGAAGACCATTTTAGGTCCTCTTGAAGCTCATCAAGAGAATGCCAAGAGTGAAGCAGTAATCAGAGCAAAAGGTGCTACTTTGAAGAACCCAGAATAAAACACATATTTTCAGTTAATTCATAGTTTTGAGGCCTTCAGTGTGAATCTATACAATTTTGATAGTCATGAGGATAAAAAACTCTTGAGATGGGTGGGTGTGTCCAAACTTTTGGTCTGTACTGTTCATACATCTACAATATATGCATGCATACACTACACATACACATAAGATAGCGAGATAAGCAAACATTCAATCATTTCCAAAAACAAAAAAGGGCACCAAATAGACAATAAGTGAAACTAATGCTAACAAAAGTGAAAATGATCATAATAATAAAAAAAACAAAATAATAATAATGATGATGATGATGATAATAATAATAATAATAATGATAATAATAATAATAATAATAATAATAATAATAACAAGAAGAAAGATGAATTAAAAAATAAATATAAATAAATAAATAATAATAATGATAATAATAGGGAAAGAAGGGGGGCAGTCAACCCTAAGGCAGAGTTCTTAATGATTTACAATAGTCAATACATGAACCCCACTTCCTTTCTGATTCTTAGTATGTGCGACATGCAAACATCTTCCATGTCATGCAAACATACTGTGTTTTTCTTCTTGGTTTGACTGATGTTATTGCATTTCATTTGATTAAGTATGTTTTTTACAGCTGCTTTACACCGGAATTGTTATTTACGCTCCAGCACTGATTCTCAATGAAGGTATAAGTTGTGCGGTTCATACAATCTCTTTTTTGTAATTCAATGCTGAGATACACAATAAACCATTGTGCTATTACTTGGCCCACCTGGGGTATTGTAATCCTGTGTGTGTGTGTAGATAAGATTGCGCAATACCTTGTGAACTGAATTAGCTGAAATGTTGTGTGTTGATTAAATGTGATGGGAGGAAGATCTTATGAAAGTTGTGTAATAGTTGTGTTCTAGTTTATATATCTACTTCACGACTCCCACTTATGTCTGCTGTCGTTGTGTCCTTGGGCAAGACACTTAACCCCCTTGTCTGCTGTCATTGTGTCCTTGGGCAAGACACTTAACCCCCCTTTTTGCCTAAAGCCCCCGCTGAAATATCATGGCTGGTGCTCTGTGTACTGGGTGCAGCTCTGCCTGCCACCCCCCCGACCCAGAAATGGATTAAGGGGAAGAAAATGGATGGATGGATGGAGTTACAGTCACAGATTAACACTTAACGCTTTGATTGACAAAGATTTCTTTACTCTATTACTGCTACTATTTCTTATTGAGGATTTTATATCTGAACGCTACCACAGGGTCGTTATCCCCACTGCTGTCAGACTGTACAATAAGTCACTTTAAGTCACTAATGCACTAGGACTGAAAAAACCTGCACTGCTATTTCCATTTTTTATCGTACATAATTATATCGTGCACAGACTATATTTTTAACCTTTAACATGTTGCACACTTCTGTCTTATGCACAATCTGAGTGATTCTATTTGTGCCAAATGTGACATATAAATTTATCCAGTGTGAGATCTATAATTTTTATCTTATCTTATCTTATCTTATTTTGTATTATTGTTATTTTACTAGCTGTAGGACTAGCCTGGCCTTATCCATCCATACATTCTGTTCAATCATCATTTCCTGCATGTTACGTCTGGGTCTGGTCCCTGTGTTTGCGATTACAATCGGTTGAATTCCATCCGACCAATCAGAGAGCGCGGGAGGCGGGTGTTGTAGTTAGTTGTGGGTGACGTCAAGAGTTTGCATTGAACGGGCAGGTTGTAGTTTGGTGATGAAAGCGATACTAAAGTATTCCGGTATATTATATTATTATAGTATTATTGTTTAATTTCAGCGACTGGCCTAAACCTGTGGTTATCTCTGTTTTCTACTGGGATCATATGCACGGTCTACACCACGCTGGTAAATACAAGAAAGGACTAAACTCACTTGGATGATGCCTATAATGTCTCTGACTCCTCTCTGCCACAGGGAGGCATGAAGGCTGTGATTTGGACGGACGTTTTCCAGATTTTTGTCATGCTTTCAGGCTTTGTGGCCATTTTCATCCAAGGCACAGTTCTGGTTGGGGGTCCTGGCCGCGTGCTGGAGATCGCCAACAATGGATCACGTATTAATTTCAATGAGTAGGTGTTTGAGGAACTGAAATAAACCTCATTTCAGTATCTGTTTAATTTTTAGATTTTTGTGTGTTTTTTTACAGTTTTGACATTGATCCTCGCAAACGCTACTCGTTCTGGAGCCTGACAGTAGGGGGAGCTATGGTTTGGTTGTCAATGTATGGAGTGAACCAAGCTCAAGTTCAACGATACATATCCTGCCGAAGCGAAAAAGATGCTCAGTGGTGAGACAAAAGTGCTTTGTAGTAATTTGTGATCAATGGATTCTGCTCTGTCTATGGTGGAAGTCGAGAAAGGAAGAGACGACGGCTCAATCTTCTAGCATAAAAATTACATCCGGTCATTCATCATCATTTTTAAACATCGTGTGTAGACGGCTTGGTTTGCTGGTTCAGTTATTCTTGTTATAGCTTGTCAAAATTATTCAACATTTTCAATTATTCAACAGTCTCTAAATTAGTTAGCACTCTCGCTTCTCAGCAAGATAGTCCTGGGTTCGAATCCAGATCAGAACGGGGCCTTTCTGAGTGAAGTTTGCATGTTCTCCCTGTGTCTGCGTAGGTTTCCTCTGGGTACTCCGGTTTCCCCTACCACTAAAAACATGCACAATAGGTCTGTGCCTCCTGTACTGGCCCCGCTCCCATCTCTATTTGGAGTGAGAGACTAATGCCCACAATTGTAAACCGCTTTGTGACTAAATACTTTTTTGCAATTCCCCGGAAGGATGGTCCAAAAGTGGCTCTTGTTCCAAAAGTGTTTCTTGGTCCAAAAGTGGTTCTTGGTCCAAAAGTGGCTCTTGGTCCAAATGTGGCTCTTGGTCCAAATGTGGCTCTTGGTCCAAAGGTGGCTCTTGGTCCAAAGCTACGTTCCAGATGCTGTCGATGTTGAGGGGAGCAGAAGGAAAAAGTGGTGGCACATTAGTTTCAGCGGTGGAGATAGACGTCACTACCTTTGTTCATATTTACAGTCTTTATCATGAAAGCAGACTTTTTGAAGAGGCTTTTTATTCCTCTTACAGGGGTCACAGAAAGGTATTCTGAGTAAATGTATTAATAATGTTTTTTCACAATCCGGCAGCAGGAGGCGGCACTTCCGGTTCTTGTGAAAAACTTTCAGGGAACTCAAAAGTAAGTAAGTAAACTTTAAAATGTATATACGGCCTTTCGCAGACCAGAGTCACAAAGCGGTTTACAATTGTCTTTCTGTCTTGGGTTAGGGTGTATGTAGACCGTCTACATACTAATGATTAGTTTACTGTATTTTCGATTGAATTGGATCCACAGAAAACAAAAAGACAAAACAATATTTAAATCTTGCCTTAAATTTAAATGCTGTGAATCAAAAACATCCATTGTTATTCTTTTTTTTTTGGTAAATCAACTGAATGTGTTAGGGTTAGGGATGATACACGGATTGAAATGCTCTGTTGTGATCCATTGATTGTTTTGTTTCAGGGCCCTCTTTGTAAACCAGCTCGGCTTGTGCCTCATCGTGGGCAGCGCAGCCACTTGTGGGATCGTGATGTTTGCTTATTACATCGATTGTGACCCTTTAAAGTCTGGGAAAATCTCCTCACCAGATCTGGTCCGACATGTAGACTGGCTTCATTATAATAATAATAATAATAACACATCAAACTTATATATCGCTTATATGGACACTCAAAGACGCTTTACAAAACACATAGAAATGAAACATTGACAAACAAAATTATGGAAAGGCTGAAACATGTGGGTTTTGGGGAAAGATTTAAAGTTCAGGAGTGAGTCTGAGTTTCTGATTGGTTGAGGGAGTGAGTTCCAGAGAGTGGGGCCAGCTGCAGCGAAGGCTCGGTCCCCCAAGGTTTGTTGTTTAGTCCTGAGGGGAGTGAGGAGGTTGGAGTCAGTGGATCTGAGGCGGCAGATGGGACAGTGACTATGGAGGAGGTCAGTGAGGTAAGAGGGGGCCAGGTGACGGGGGGGACTTGTAGCTGAAGACATGGTGGCTGAGTGGATAGCACTCTGGCCTCTCAGCAAGTAGGTCCTGGGTTCGAATCCCGGTCGGAACAGGGCCTTTCTGAGTGGAGTTTGCATGTTCTCCCCGTGTCTGTGTATGTTTCCCCTACCACTAAAAACATGCACAATAGGTATGACTGTGAATGGATGGTGTTGATTGTGGGCTGATGCACCAGTGTGTTCCGTCATCACTGTGTGTGGAATGATTGGAACAATATCTGAACTCTGAACATTGTAAAGTGCTTTGGGTGACCTCGGTCTGTAAAATGCGCTATATAAATAAACATTACTTACTTAATTACTGAAGAGGAGGATCTTTTGGATGCGGTATGGAACAGGGAGCCAGTTGAGTTGTTTGAGGACAGGGGTGATGTGGTCTCTGGAGCAGGTGTGGGTGAGAGTTCTGGATGTATTGTAGTTTTTGGAGATGGTGGAAGGGAGACCGAAGAGGAGGCTGTTGCAGGAGTCCAATCTGGAGGGGATGAAGGCATGAAGGGAGGGGAGGAGGCGAGCGATGTTGCGGAGGTGGAAAAATGATACTTTGGAGATGAGGTTAATGTGGGGTCTAAATGAGAGGATGGAGTCCATAATAACGCCGAGGTTGCGCACAGAGGGGGAGGGAGTGATTGTGTGGCCGTCAATGTTGAGGGAGATGTTTTGAGCATTTTTGTATCGCCCAAAATCCCAAAGAGTCACATTACAGGTGCATTCAGGAAACAGGGACAACACGTGAATAACAAGTGCATTCACAACAGGTGTATGCATGGTTTATTATGAACAGTTGTGGATGTACATATGGTTTTCCGGACTATAAACTGCACTTGTCCCACATTGTACTAATGAAAAATGTAGCTCTAAACTTGAAGTGAGTCCCTGACCAGTTGTTTTTAATCCATCAGCGTGATAAAGAGCAACATCTACCATCACTTTGTTCACTTTCATATCCACACAGAAAACAAAAAACTATTTATTATGTGAGATATTTACACAAACGTGTGTAAGTGAGGCCTTTTAAATTATAATCAAGCCGCTCGGTAACAAACAAATACATAATACCAATGCTTTTTTCTCACTGTGCCTGTGACCTTTAAACAAACCGTATGTTGGTTGGTAACGCACAAATTATCAAAGTATAATAAATATCATAATTTTAGTGGTTTCCAGGGTGACGAGGGGTAAGCACAGACTGATTGACACATCATACAATCTAACCGGACCTCTGTGAACTACTCATCCATTCTGTTGGTCTACAGCCAGGGTCTCAAACCTGTAACTTGGAAGCTATCAGTAGCTCGCCAGCTCCTTTCAGATAGCTCCCCAAAGGATTTAGAATTCAACACATGATCTTGAATGATTGACTTTTGAGTCGTTACACATCTATCATAAGTATAAATATAGGGTTATACAGTATTATGGGATGTTTTTTCCATGTTTTGTCATAATTATTACATGGATTTTCATTACAACTGCAAAAAGGAGTAGCTCTCTGCCTCTTCTGTTGTGTAAAAGTAGCTCTCCGATTGAAAAAGGTTGGGAACCCCTGGTCTACAGTTACTTGGTGCCACACAAAAAATACAAAATTAAAATTCATTTGTTTACTATATTTCTACTCTGTGTAAAAAAAAAAAAAAATCTATAAATAAAATGTGGATCTGAAAATATGTAACAAACTTCCGTGGCTCCGTCCGCCAAAGCTTTTGTACCTTTAATGTGAACAAACCCAGATTACAAACTGATTTTCTTTTGTGTATTTTCATCATGTAACAATTGCTGTATCTCCAAATCTCATCATCAACTCTCCTTTTCTACTTTTGCATATGGAAGTACATGCCAAAGTTTGTGTTTGACATTTTTGACGGGTACCCTGGATTCCCTGGGCTGTTTTTGGCTTGTGCGTACAGTGGAACTCTAAGGTAACGTCACACAAAAGCATAATATGTATTTTCTTTCATTTCTATAATGTGTTGTTTCTTTTCTAAGTACTGCCTCCACAAGTATCAACGCCATGGCAGCGGTCACGATGGAGGACGTACTGAGGCCTCATTTGCCTCACATTTCACAGTCAAATCTGGTTATACTTTCAAAGGCCCTCTGTGAGTCGCTGATCACACACCTTTTATTGGATCAATCTGTCGGTGTCAGATAAATGTGGATGATTTACCAGATTTGTTCTTCTTTGGATCAGCCTTCATGTTTGGAGTTGGCTGCATTTCTATTGCTTCTCTTTCCTCTTTCCTGGACTGGGGAGTGCTGCAGGTAACACATTGTTTTTGCTTGTGAAGGATTTCTGATTTAAAGCAGCAATATGTAAGGTTTTCATGTCAAGTCATCATTAAAGGGCCCTAATCTGACATCATTAAAGGGACCTAATCTGTCCAAAGGCATTAATAAAAGTTCTTTTCCAATACTTCTTTAACTGATAACAGAAGTTCAGAGATATGAGAATTTCTAAATTAGTTGTCCAGCCCCTCATTCTTGTTATTGTTTTTATTTCGATGTCCCGCCCTCTGCCGTTTCACCAATCAGAAAGTCTGTGATCTGGGTTGCCAGAACTCACCACTGCGTCGAGCTAATCTCACTGGTAAAGTACCATGTGGCGCAGAACTAAAAAGTACAAGACCTTTTAGTTCTGCGGCCACATGGTAATTTATGATTATCAAATCATTCACGACAAAACAAGGAATAAAACCAGGCTTTCTGTCGGGGACTTTGTGAAAAAGGTGATTTGTTGTCGACAAAACTCTTGTATATTTAGTTATTAGTATTATAAGCCCAGCTGGATTCGTCTGCATATCTGGCAACCTGAGTCAGGGAGAGAGGGGGAGGCTGCAGTACCACTTTCAGCCAGATTTGTACATACTGCTCCTTTAAATTTAACAATTATTCACACATTCAAGAGTCAAGATTCAGGATTATTATGTCCCGTAGGAAACTTGCTTTTGACATTTCTGTTATTTTCTTTCCCACGCAGGGATCCTTCACTGTGATGGGAGTGGTCAGCGGCCCTCTGTTGGGAGTTTTCCTCTTAGGCATGTTTGTTCCTGGGGCAAATAAATTGGTAAGATTCCAATAAAATACAGGTGTGTGTGTGTGCGTGTGTGTGTGTGTGTGTGTGCGTGCGTGTGTGTGTGCGTGTGCGTGTGCGTGCGTGTGTGTGCGTGTGTGCTTTTGGCTCATGACGTCTACATTCCCTCAGTCACTAAACACTCTTTGATAAGAACAATGGACTCTTTTTGATGTATGTATTTATTTATTGAACCATTGAGGCTTTTTTCCATTTTTTAGTAAAGTAAGTTAGTAAAGTTTATTAGTATAGCGCCTTTCCAAGTCCAGGATCACAAAGCGCATCCTATTCTAAAAAATAAAGATAAAATAATACAAATACAAGTAGGGGTATGTTCAGTGAGGAGAGAGTCTGTCTAAACAAATAGGTCTTATTTCTGGATGTATTAATCTTTAAACATGAATTTGCTAATGTGATCATTTGACCTTGATCCAAACACATTTTACTCTAAAAATTATATCCAAAAACAGTGTGTCACTTTCTCAAAATAAAAATAAAAACTTTCTCACATCGCATTTTTAGATTTAAAAAAAGAAAAGTAAACATTGTGTATGTGTGTATTCTTTTAGTGAAGATTCTATTTTTTCTGTTTGTTAAATGCAGCTGTTGAAGATTTGACTTGTTTTACAAAAATATACAACAAATTATTGAATAAAAACAGGTTTTATTTAATGGAGCAGTTATTGAGGTTTGGTTTTAAATGTAGTAAATAAAAATAAATGCACAATAAATATAAATAAGTAAAAAATAATAATTAAAAGTTTAAATAAAAGCATTCTAAGTGTTTAGAATACAGGCACAAACTGAAAACTATTCAACAGGAGTGTCCGACCTGTACTTTGGGAGCTACCAGTAGCTCGCCAGCCCCTTTCAGGTAGCTCTCAAAGGATTTAGCCTCATGATCTGAATACTGCTAGTGCTAGCAGTATTATGGGATATTTATATTTTCTCCATGTTTTGTCATAACATAGACTTTTATTTTAAAACTGCAAAAAGAGTAGCTCACTGGTTTCTGTATAAAAGTAGCTCTCCCATTGAAAAAGGTTGCTATACAAAATGTTTAGGTCACGTTTTCAGTTTTCTGGAACGTAACATATTTTCAAAGCATTCTCCCCAACACTGTCTGAAAGTTGTGTTCTTTCACAGGGAGCTTATGTGGGAATCCTCACAGGATACGGCGTGTCTTTGTGGCTGGCTGTGGGTTCGACTCTCTACCCTCCGAGTGCAGAGACTATGGGGGTCCTACCCACCTCCGCAGACCTCTGTTCTCCTACAAACACCTCTCACGGCTCCTTCTCCACCAAGCTGCAGTCCACAGAGCACAGGTCTGGCCTTCCACCATCCATCCAATTTCTTCCCCTTAATCCATCTCTGGGTCGGGGGGGTGGCAGTCAGAGCTGCGCCCAGCACCAGCCCCTCACTGATCCTCCCGCAGGTGGTGGGTCCACAGGAACTGAGATCTTTCAGTGGGGGCTTCAGGCAAAGTGAGGTTGAGTGTCTTGCCCAAGGACACAACAGCAGCAGACATCAGTGGGAGTCGGTGGAGAGGGTTTTATGGTTGGCTTGAACCCATGACCCCCAGGCTGTCACCCCGCCTTCCACCATATTCTTTTTTTATTTTTTTATTTAACACCATGTGATACAGATTCCAAAACATGGAAATATGTAGCATCATATTCCCACTGATCCAGAACCTTCTAACCTCTTCTTTATGGCCGCAGAGGACTTCATAACTTCTACTCCGTGTCCTACCTGTACTTCGGAGCCATGGCCACGAGTTCTGTGGTCTTGATCGGGCTGATTGTAAGCTATGCTACGGGTATGAAAGTTAGCATTTTCAAGTTTTTAGAGTTTCATCAAATCCCTTTGGAACAGATTAATAACAGATGATTCAGAAACATGTTCAAATCTGGTTGGATTTGATTTTTTTTAAAAGATCTATCTATCTATCTATCTATCTATCTATATATATATATATATATATATTTTTTTTTTTATATAAAAATATATATTTTTATATATAAATATATATATAAAAAAGAGAGAGAGATATAGACAGTAATGATCTTACATTGACCCAACATGTTCTAATCCTAAATACACTTTTCAGAATCAGCTTATGTTGATTTATTATTGCTAAGAAGAACAATGTACATTTATGTAACAAAACAACATCTTGCTTTTCAACATGGAGGTTTTTTACAGGACCCACAAAGAGAGACCAAATCAAAGAGGGCCTTTTGTGGTGGGACTTAAACAAGAATAAAGCAGACATGCTTTCAGATCCAAGTGTAAGTGTGTAAAGCTTTTCAACTGTTAAAAAGTGTATTTATATTTTGGTTCATATTTTCTCTCTCCAAAGACAAATGAATCGACATTTCTTCGCTCTTTGCTTCACAACACACAGAAGCGGCTCAATCATTCTTCAAACAGATCAAGGAAACCGAAGGTGAAAACAAAAACTATATGTATTTTAAGTATAAGTCGCACCAGTCGAAAATGCAAAATAAAGAAGGAAAAAAAACATATATAGGTCACACTAGAGAATAAGTCACATTTTTAATAGCTTAAAAAGGACAACTCACCCTCAAATCCACTTTTTTTTGCTGATAAACGGTATAAATGAGTGTCCAATAGTGTTGTCTACATATCCTGGTCATAATCTTGTCACTTTGGTGCAAATTAGTTGAAAGTTAGACTTTCTGCCTAAAACCGTCTGTGAGGCGCCATCTGCTGGCGACCTGTATTACTACATTTGAATTTTGAATCTGGCGCCAACACTGGCACAGAAGTTGGACCTGACGTCTGAAGCAAGACCTGACGTCAGCAGCCCCCCGCCCAGAGCAATGTAAACGACCCAGTCTCGTTCACGCCCCCTTTAGTCCTCCAGGCTACGCCCATTTAGAGGAAGATTTGAACAGGAAATGTGAGTAACGTAAGCTCCGGGGAGCGGGGGTGAGAACCACTTTAAATTAGCCCGGGCTATTATGTGATATTTATAGTAAATAAAATATCAAATTTCACACATAAGTCGCTCCCCCGGACAAACTAGGACAAAGACTTATAAACCGAAAATTTGGTAGTTCATGGAAAAAAACTATTGTCAATGTCATTCCTCTGCTCTTTCACAATGTTATGATATTTGGTTTGTTCTTTGGTTTGATTTTAAAGGTTGAAAAGTCAACACGAGCGGAACATTCCAACAAGAGGCTTCAGGAAAACGCCACAGACGAGGCTCGAGAATGTACAATGGTCATGTTAGGACCCACGGGTTAGACTATAAATGTATTTGTCTTTGTTTTTTGGCAAATTTGTTGGGCTCTATATTTAGCACATTGTATTAAAAGTATATAGGAGGATTTTCTACTTCTGGGTGGATCATTATGACTATTGGTCCTCCCAAATGTCAATCATTCTGGGGATATATGCTCATCCAATAAGATCAGAGAGTTTTGTTCAAAAAGTGGAGAGGGCGGTTCTTTCCTAAAATGTTGAAAAATCCTATGTACTTTAACAAATTAAAATGTGTAGATATAAAATAAACTGAAATATGCACTTTAAAATAAATCTATTATAGTGATGCAACAAAAGAGAATCATCGCTATGTGTTTTCCTTTCCGTGTATTTATTTTAAACAGTTGTTTTTGGTACGACTCAGTGTAATTTACTGACACCTTCTGGTCAAAGCATTGCATGTACTGTACACTGGAAGTGAATACAATAATATACTGCAATTTAAATGGTGTTTAATGTAATCCTATACACACACTGTATTCAGGCAGAAACTGACACAAAAGCAACACAAAGGTCCAGGCTAAATGCAGTAGAGAATAGGAGGATAACATCCACACATGAGTCCAGATGAGTCCACATGAGCCGTCACCAGTCGTCTGCAGCTCGGTTGGAGTCCTCCTCGGCCTCAGCCACAGCACAGTCCAGGTGTCGGACCCCGGGGAGGGCCAGGTCTCTTTCGTTTAGTTTGTCCAGAAAAGAAGAGAGGAGGCGTTTGTTGAGGTGGTCCGTGAGGCTCCGCTGCTCCTCCGGCAGCTGCTTCACACTTCTGCCTGGGTCTGGTTCTTGCTCCGCGGCCTCACGACTCAAGGACAGTCCGCTCCGAGGCTCCTCCGGGCTCTGCTCTGCGGGAGGCTCGGTGTCCATCTCGGAGGTCAGCGTGGTTTGTAACGCAGCATTCTCCAGCTCCTTTAACCGCTTGCTGTACAGACCACAGACAGACGCTTCTCTCCCACTGGTCTGAGAGCCCTCCGCACTCTGCTCCATGGTCCACAGGAAAATCTAACCATCCATGGTCCGGGGCCTGAAGAGCGGAGAGAGGGCGCCCTCTAGCGGACGAGAGAGCAGCTGCACACAGACGTCACATGACGCCCACTCTGTAGTGAAATGGTCAGCATAATATATTTATGAGATGCACACAGTGTATTTTTCATACATTGTGTTTTATTGTCCCACTGATACAATAACATAAAAAACGTGAAGTTTTAATTAAGTTCGTAAAACTGTCCATGGATGTCGTCATCAATGTGCGCTGCGAGGGAAGCGAACGAATATTAAATTACATTATTTGGTACAGTTTACTTTGTGTTGACTTATGTATCATATCACCAGCCTTATCTAATCCTGTTCATACACAGGTAAAGATGACAGAGAGGACATTATCATCATTTGTATTATTATCACTGCACTTTTGTCCGACTATGATGGATAAGTTCACCTTTTCCAAACTTGGTGTTGTTTAGATATTATTACTAGTAATCCATTTCATAGCGTCATTGTTTTTTTCTTTTTTCAGTTATCAGCAATTCATTCATTCTCCCGTTCACTACTTCTTCGGACGGCAGGGGTTTGGTCTTGTCCAGGCCCTTGTGATGCCAAGGAAATTCCAAGGCGAGAACTCCAAGGCAGCCACAGCCAAAGCCCGCAAAGCTGAGGCCAAGGCAGAGGTTGATGCACACAAGAAGAAGGCTGAGGAGGATGCTCTGTGGCAGGAAACAGACAAACATGCACTGAAGAAGGGTCAGAGGAAGGTAATGGATTTAGATAGCTATACAAGTGATCTGGCCTTCTGTAAGTCACAACGAGCCAATTGTGTATCTGCTATGATTGTGTATCCGTGTTATGTTCTGTCGATGTCTCTGGATGACACTATGTTTTTCCATGTATTACGTATGTGTGACGTAAACGTTGACTATATAAACCATATGCCGATTTTTGTTCTGTCTGAAAACCTGAAGAAAACATGAGAAAGAACTGAGAGAAACTGAATAAACTTCCAGGTGGCTTTGGTGCGTAGAGATCCCGTCTATGTGAGCTTAATTTTCCACAGTGTCAGACGGTTGACATTTTTAGATGCTAAATTATACGATTTAGAGACACATGAGGACAATAAAAACTTACTGCACATTCAAATATTTTCATTTTCTCCCTAATCAGAATCAGAATCAGAATCATTTTTATTGCCACGTAAGTAACAGGAAGTCACAGACTTGGAAATTGCTTTGGCTCAGTGCAACAGTCAGAAAGAGATAATAAAAATAAAGAATAAAAAACACTTCTAAGGAATACATTTAAATTTAAAATAGAGTTACAGTTACTATTTACAATATACAAGTGCACATGGTGCACACAATGTAAGGTGACAGCAGTACAGTGAAGTAAAGTGACGTATGATGGGCAGTAAAGTGACTTTATAAAGGGCGGGGGGACAGGTTAAGAAGTGTTCAAGAGTCCAACAGCAGAGGGGAAGAAACTGTTCTTGTGGCGGGAGGTTCTAGTCCTGATGGACCGCAGCCTCCTGCCTGAGGGGAGTGGTTGGAATAGTCCATGTGCAGGGTGAGAGGGGTCGGCTGTGATACGACCAGCCCGGCCTCGAGCTCGGGCGACGTACAGGTCCTGCAGCGATGGAAGGCTGCGGCCGATCACTTCCTCTGCAGAGCGCACAATGCACTGTAGTCTCTGTTTGTCCCTGACTGTGGCTCCAGCGAACCACACGGTGATGGAGGAGGTGAGGATTCGGTGAGGACTCGATGATGGCCGTGTAGAAATGCACCAACATCGGTGCAGGCAGCTTGGCTTCCCTGAGCTGCCGCAGGAAGTACATCCTCTGCTGGGCCTTCTTGATGTGGGAGCTGATGGTCGGCTCCCACTTGAGGTCCTGGGTGATGGTGGTGCCCAGGAAACGGAAGGACTGCAGAAGTGATGGGGGAGTCCATCACGGAGGGTGGGGGCAGAGGTGATGGGGGAGTCCATCACGGAGGGTGGGGGCGGGGGGACAGTGCTCTTCCTGAAGTCCACAATCATCTCCACTGTCTTCTGGGCGTTCAGCTCCAGGTTGTTACCACTGCACCAGGACACCAGCCGGTCCACCTCCCTCCTGTAGGCGGACTCATCGTTGTTGGAGATGAGTCCAATGAGGGTGGTGTCGTCCGCAAACTTGATCAGCTTCACGGAGTCGTGGCTGGAGGTGCAGTGGTTGGTGTACTTTTTTGTCCTGGCAGATATTAGAAGCACATTTCAGTGAGTCGCGCTGAGCAATTTCTATGGAGAACCTGAATTACTCCATGAATCTCCGTGGTAACAGTTGTTTTTAATGTTTCCTTCTGAGCTCTATAGGATGACAAAGAGAAAAAGAGACTGGAACTTCTGGAGAGAAAAAAGGAGAACCAGCGGCTTCTGGATGAGGAAGCTTCTAAAATCAAAGGAAAATCTCCAAATGAGGACGACGTAGCCACATGGAAAGTGACCCGGGCCCAGATCGAACAAACTCTGCAGAACGAGCAGAAGCAGCAGCGACAGGATCCACCCAGAGGTCAGTCAGAAACATTCATCCTCATTCATTAGTTTTCAACCCCTTTATTAGTCCATTTCTGGGTCAGGGGGGTGGCAATGAGAGCTGCCACCTAATGCTCAAAGCGCCGGTCCCTCTGATCGGAAGATGGCTGCTACATCAGTGGTGCCTTGATGTTTCAGCGGGAGTTTCAGGCAATATGGGGTTAAGTCTCTTGCCCAAGGACACAACGACAGCAGACATTAGTGGGAGCAGTTGGAGTAGGTCCCGTGATGGGCTTGAACCCACGCACTTTTGTTTTTCTTCTGTTTATTATGGGTTCAATCAGATTCAGTGAGAATCCATCCCGACATTCTTCCAAGATGCTGATGATTGATGCATAAGAATATTAAAACCTCTTTCCTCATCTGTCTTCAAACCCACACACTTGTTGTTTTCTTCTTCCAGAAAAGACACGTCTGGAAACTCCCCTGGAAGAGAACGTGAATAGAATCTTTGCAGAGGAAGGAAGTGTGGAAGCGAGAAGTATAGAAGACGCCATTGCAGCGCTGAGGTGTTTGTTTTGGGCTGTTTACAGTCTGTGGTTAAAAGAGTAAAAAAAATCAGCATAATTAGAATATCGTCTTTGTTCTTTAGCACCGGAGGAGAGGATCTGGACCGACACCCGGAGCGCAGAGTGAAAGCAGCATTTGCCGCCTTTGAGGAAGTCCACATGCCTCGTTTAAAGAAGGAAAACCCCAACATGAGGTTGTCGCAGCTCAAGCAGCAGCTGAAAAAGGAGTGGACAAAATCTCCAGAGAATCCCCTCAACCAACACTTTGCGGCCTTCAATTCAAAGTGAAAACTCATAGTTACTTCCGCACCAAGAGGAGACTCAGCAGACAGAATGAATCTCATGGAAAACCCTCGTAGAAAAAAGGAATCAGAAAAGATGCTCAGAATTCACCCACAGAATGCTTGGTTTTTCCATAACTCAGACTTTGACCCTGTTTGTCCACTGCGTATGGTCCTTTATAGGTCATTTATAATCAAGTATTAGCAATAATTAGAATAGTTTTAATATGTAATAACATTTTGTGTGTGTATACTGTATGTATATGTTTTTCTTATGTGTTTTTATTGTTGCTGTTCTTTATTATTTTTATTTCCACTTGTCTGTACAGCACTTTAAATAATGATGCATTGGTTTTATACAGCGCTTTTCTGGACACAAAACAAGGCTTCACATGTCATTATTCTTTCTCTCAAAACACGGTGGTGATAAACTACTACTGTAGCAACAGCTGCTATGGGGCACACTGGCAGAAGCAAGGCATCCAGTCTGTGCCATCGGCCCCTCCGACCACCACCAACCATTCACACTCACACCAGACTCATTCTAGGCAATGGGGGTGAAGTGTCTTGCCTAAGGACACAACGGCAGTTTGGCACTTTACAGCCGCCCCACTGTGGCACCTGGTGTTCCCAGAGGTTAAGTGTCTTGCCTAAGGACATAACAAAAGACAGTGGAAGTCTGGAAGTTTATTTAAGTTTCTCTCAAGTTCCAGTGGTTTACTTTGTTTCTTTCTCTCAGACAGAATAAAGGCAGTACACAGTTTATATAGTCATTGTCACGTCACACATCGAAAGACGTACGTGTCACAAAGAGACAGTCACATCATAGTCATAACATGGAGTCCTTGTAGAGTCCTTGTAGAGTCCTGCACGTAGGCCATATTGCTATCTAATACTAACAGGAGTCAATGGTGAAAGTCTTGAGGTGGGCTCAAACCCACGACCTTCTGGCTCAAAGGCCAATGCTTTACCAACTGAGCCACTGTCACCCAGTATTTATTTGATGTTTATACAGAGAAAATGTTAATTCATATGAATTCTAAGCACATGTTTGAAAAGGAGTGGGTCATCTCAGCTCCTCCTGGAAGAACCAAGGACCAGGTCTAAACTCTGGGACCGGTCTCTCTCAGTCCTGGACCCAGACTCTAGACCTAGCTGCCCCTGATGTGCCTGTCACTGATAAACACTCATGAGCACTGTGACACTTTTTTAATGCTTTTTAACTGTTTTACTAATTTGAATGCATAAATGTTTTGATGGGTTTTATGTGATTTCGTTGTAAAACACTTTGGTCGCCTTGAGTGTTGTAGAGAGCTCTATAAATAACATTGATTGATAAAAAACTAACGAAAATTTAAAATGTTATTTCATTATTCAATCCATTATAAAAATAGCCACATATTTTGGTTGAATCACTTTTTTTTCCGTACGTTCATTAAAGCATTTTAAGTGAAGTGTTTTAAGAATTGCCTTTATTTTCCCAAAGTCTCTGGTGCAGCAGATAAGAGACACATAAAGGCCTTTGAACCAAAGTGTTTCCCGACGGCCTTTTGTCTCCTTAAACACAGCCTGTATTTATCATTTCCCTGACGACCAGTTTAGCTCCATCTCTTTGAGGCAGTGGTGTAGCATCTCTCATTGATTTTCCTGTTTTTGTTTTCCGCACTCCGGTCTGTTGTGTCCCGGCCACTTTGCTCTCATTTGCATGTCAACCTTTCACTTTTATCTTTCTTCATGTTGAATCTGATTATGACTTTCAAAGGAGGGTCCCAGTATTAAGTGTGTGCAGCTCGGGGGCCTCAGAACCTGCCTCTGCTCAACCACGAAGTGCACCTACCTCTTTTTACAGACTTCGAGAGGACTTCGGACTGATTCAGGTAAGAAATATTTGTGCCGTTACTTTGATCCAGGCTGAATACTTTTATTGCTGTAAATTGCCTTGATTTCAATTTTATTCTATTCTATTCATTAAGCGCTTTAGGCGACCTTAGTCTGTAAACATGCTCTATATGAATAAATACTTACTTAATTACTTGTTTCGCCTTAAATCACAGCAGCAGTTTTATCAGAGGACTTTACAAAACTGTTGAAATCACCAACACAGATCAGAGAATCAACAGTTTAAACACAGAGAATATAGACCACATGGTATTGGACTATAGGGAGAGACCAATGTATATGAATGTAGTAGAATGTAGAGTGTCCTGGATCCTGGACTGACGCTGTAAATCCAGGACTCAGACTGTAGAACGAGGACTGAGGCTGTAGATCCAGGACTTAAGCTAAAGGGGCAGACAAACATAATATATTGTCCTATATATATCCTTTTTCCAATCATGGAAATGTATCCTGCAAATGTGGTATGTTATGAAGCTGTTAAGTGCCACAGCATTGTCATTAAAGAAAAAAATAAAAAAGGCAAGGCAAGGCAAGTTTATTTGTATAGCACAATTCATACACAAGGCAACTCAAAGTGCTGAACAAGATAGCATGATACGAAGAGAGAGGGAGCTTGAAGGAACAGTAAGGCATCTTGTGATTTAAAACTTAACTTTTATCACCACATTGACACAAACTTTAGCAGCAGTTATGTGAAAGACTCCAGTTTTCAGAAAGTTAAAAACAGATAATTATTTTAGAAGAAGTATTTGAAAATAGCATGTTTTATCAATGCCTTTTGACAGATTAGGGTCCTTTATGGTCCTGATGACTTGACGTGAAAATCTTCCATATGGCTGCTTTTATATACATGATTAATATATACATTCTTGTTCCTGAAGTGCTATGCCTTTGTGATGAGGTTGATTCTGGTCAAACCCACAAACGCCACTCGCCGCCTGGACTCCACTGGGGAAGTCTACCACGAGCCGGACGATGAGCGCTTCCACTCTGAGGGCCCTTCTCCTCCAGCCAGAGCCGCAGAAGCCAAGTGCGATGGCTTCTCCGGGACTCCCATCCAAGTGGCTCCATCCCCTCAACAGTCCGGTCTACCTCGGGGTCCCTCAGACTCCCACAGAAGACCCCACCAAGTTCCCAATCACACAGCAAACCATAAAACTGACGGCTTGACTTTTTCACCTCTGAGTGATCAGGACTGGCTTTTGCTCTGCAGGCATGCGGAAGACGACACAACCACGGACTTACCGGAGACTCCGAGCCAAAGAGACCGTCTATGTTCTTGTCAAGACTTTACCAATTCCCGCTCAAAACCTCAAGACCTTTCCGTAGTTGAAAGAAATCCACATTTGTCAAGCGTGCACACCTCAGAGACTCCACCACAGTCAACAAACCAACGTGGTTTTCGTAGCGTCTGTAGTGTTTTCCAGGTGGAAGATGGAGCAGGCCCTCAGAGCAATCATCAAGAAGACTGGACGAAGCATCACTCGACGTCAAAAGATCGAGGACAAAACATGTACAACATTCCAATAGACATGTCAACGCCGGAGCCCAAGTGGAGGGATATGTTTGGAACTGGCACTTTGTTAGTCCAGCAATGTAAGAAGCAGGGTTTGCATTGTTTAAGTGGCGGAGAGGACTTTTGCAAAGATTCTGATGATCCAGCGGCCGACTTTTATCAAGGAACTGCTAAAGAACAAAGATTGGATTCACCGGACGTCAACAAAAGTGTCCAGTCCCTGTTCAGCGCCCAGTTTAGTTCACTGGAGAGACAGAGTTTGATCTTTGAAGGGGAGAGGAACAAGACATCACAGGTAAATGCTTCTGAAATGTTATGTATGCATGTGTGTAGTGTATATAGTATATGTATGCATGTGTGTAGTGTATATAGTATATGTATGCATGTGTGTAGTGTATATAGTATATGTATGCATGTGTGTAGTGTATATAGTATATGTATGCATGTGTGTAGTGTATATAGTATACAGTATGTATGACATGATATTTTGATTCATTAGATATAAGTATAAAAATGGGGTTATACAGTATTATAGCATATTTGTGTATATATGTGTTCTCCATGTGTCTTCTCTCTTATCATAATTAGATATTCACTATAGTTTCATTATTAGGAGTAGCTCTCTGCCTCTTCTGTTATATAAAAGTAGCTCTCCGACTGAAAAAGGTTGGAGACCCCTGATGTAAACCTGACTCACAAAAACGTTAATTTGATATTTAATGTGCAGATTATAACTATGTATAAGTGCGTTTAAGACATTGTTAACTTATCATCCCCGACCATAGACCTATGAAGAAAATCCACTTTCAGCCCTGTGAGTCAGAAAAGGACTAACAAAGCTCTTTCTTAAGTATGCAAAAAACAAAAATACGATAAAACCGCCAGTTGTGGTCCAACTAGTTTACCTTTTACTTGTCTAAAATAAATGGTATTCTGTACTGTTTTATTACTTGCAGCAGATCACGCCTCCGGGTGAAATGCCTGGATTTCGGTTTTTGTTTTTTTTTACTGTATAATTTTTTTTACTGTACTGTATAATTTGACAGATAATACATACATGTATTTTTTTGTGTAAACATATAAACGATGTAAAAATACCAAATTCCAAATACGATGTAATGTAGAAAGTGGTTTACCAGTTCACTTCAAATGTCTTTAAAGAAGGCACAGAAAATACTGTGATCCAACCAATACAGCTCTCATTAATCACACATTTCTACTCTCAATTCAGTGATGTATATTTTGTTTTTAGGGAAATTCTCATCATCTTTGTGGCTCCAAAATGAAGCATGGTGCCTCGAGCCCCGACACAGACGCTAGAGAGAGAGTGAACGGTGAAGCAGGGCGTTCTCCGAGCAGCCGGGCCACTGTGAGGTCCAGTCTGGCTGACCTGTTCCCCGCTCCCCAGCCGCTTCAGCTGCTGCACGACGCCTTGTCCAAAGTGATCCAGGACGACTCCAGTAAAGCCCACAGTGAGTCCCAGATGAGAGAGGAGCCGGACATCCCCCAAAAGAAGCCCAGAGACATCAGCTACAGACTGGGCCAAAGGAAAGCTCTGTTTGGGAAACGCAAGCAGCTCAGTGACTATGCCTTAATCTGTGGTATGTTCGGGATCCTGGTTATGGTGATAGAAACGGAGCTGTCCAGAGGGGTCTACACCAAGGTAAGAACAGTCAAGAAGCACCCACGATAAATAATCTTCTTCTTCTTCTTCTTCTTCTTCCTCCAAGACTGAGAAGAAGAAGAAGGTCCTTTTTGTCATCCCACTGTGTGAAGATTTCAGTTTGATGAATACACACACACACACATCAACACACACCCACACAACGACAGCTTCTTCTTCTTCTTCTTCTTCTTCTTCTTCTTCTTCTTCTTCTTCTTCTTCTTCTTCTTCTTCTTCTTCTTCTTCTTCTTCTTCTTCTTCTTCTTCTTCTTCTTCTTCTTCTTCTTCTTCTCTTCTTGGAGGATGAAGAAGAAGAAGGTCCTTTTTGTCGTCCCACTGTGTGAAAATTTCAGTTTGATGAACAATACACACACACACATCAGCACACACACATCAGCACACACACACAACGACAGCAGACATCAGTGGGAGCCGGTGGAGAAGGTCTCACGCTGGCTTCAAACCCGCAACCTTCAGGCTCAAGGCCAATGCTCTGCCATCCTAGTTACTTTTATAATATATTAATAATGATGATAACAATAATGATAATGCATCGTACTTATGTAGCACTTTACAGAAGAAGTATAAACAACAACAATAAAAAGCTAAAAATAAACAATGTCAGATTTTCATGTCAAGTCATCATTAAAGGGCCCAAATATTTAACTGATAACAGTAGTTCAGAGATATTTTAATTTCTAAATTACTTTTACTGCCCCTAAATCTTGTTATTGTTTTAATTTTGATGTCCTTTGAGTGATTTGATTGTAACTAGTAAAAAAAAACGTTTTCAAACCGTTTACAATTATTATTTGGGAAATTAGGGGATTCTTCATTTGTCCCGCAGTCAAACAAAATTGATCATTATAGTTGTTGATCATTAAAACTGATTTTTTGTTGTTGAGTTTTTGCCTTTAGAATTCAAACAGAATGTCATAACGCAACCGTTATATATATTTAATAGTAATAATAATAATATAAAAGACAATTGGAAAAAGTACATATAATCATAAAAGTTTAAACAAAAATAGAATGGAAAAAAGAACAAAAAATGTATTAATAATAACAATACTAATAATAAAAGAGAGGTGGAAGGAAAAAAACTGTCAAAACTTAGACTATGTCATTCAAACACAATCAGTTTTCTAAAAGTTATTCAAAGTTATGTGACCGTGATAGATGAGGATATTCTCCCAAAACATTCCCACATCGATAAATCCACAGTGACTTAGAGCGTTACTCACTTTGTTATAATTTAGTCCTAATATAAAATCGTTTCCTGCTGATTCTCTCCAGGACTCTAGATATTCCTTCGCCCTCAAAGGCCTCATCAGTTTTTCTACAGCTGTTCTTCTGGTCCTCATCGTGATGTACCATGCTCGGGAAATTCAGGTAAATAAACAACAGTCTTTAATTTTATACGGAAAATGTGACAAACAAAAAAAATAAAAATAAAACTTTTGTATTTTGTGTGTAGATTATGCTACATCAGAAAACATAAATTGTAAAAGAGCAGGACTAGAGGAAGTAATTCAAAAACTATACTTTTCTACCTTTCAGTTTAGCAAATTAAAAGGAATCAGACCACAGACCTTTTTATTATTTTATTTCTTTAAAAACACAACAGCAGTTATCTGTTGTCTAGGAATCATATAGTTGCAATATGTAAGATTTTAATGTCAAGTCATCTTTAAAGAGCCCTAATCTGTTCAAAGGCATTTATAAACCACAGTAGTTCAGGGTTATTCGAATTTTACAGCCCCTAAATCTTATAATTGTTTTCATTTCGATGTCCTGCCCTCCACCATTTCACCAATCAGAAAGTCTGTGATCCGGGTGACAGGAACTCACCGCGTCGAGCTAATCTCGTTATGAGTGATGAGGCCTTGGAAAAAGTGTTGTTTATAGATTTGTTGTTGACAAAACTCTTGTCTATTCAGCTGTTATGGTCCCAGCTGGATTCGTCTGCATATCTGGCAACCTAAGTCAGGGAGAGTGAGAGAGGCTGCAGTACCACTTTTTACATATTGCTCCTTTAACAACAGATTAGTGTTAGTAAGTGAGTCAATGCCCATAGATGCTATAAATGCCCATTACAAGTGTTGAAATTTATCAATTCTAGACTAGGAGTACAATTTAAAAAAAGAAATTAAATCTCCTTAAATCTCCTTAAACAAATGCCAGATCACTGTCTTTAGACCTTCCTGCATCGGAAAGGAACGGTAAAAAATGCAGGTCTCATAAATCTGTACCTTTTCCTGCATCTATTCATTTTCATTGTGTCTATTAATAACAACTTATGAATGGAATAAAATTAGACCTTTGTGTGTGAGCAGCTCTTCATGGTGGACAATGGAGCAGACGACTGGAGGATTGCGATGACCGTGGAGAGGGTCCTGTTTGTTGGTCTGGAGCTGGGGGTGTGTGCGGTCCACCCCATCCCGGGTCAGTACGTGTTCACCTGGACCAATCGATTAACCTTCAGCCACACAGGGTCTGTGGGGGACGCAGACGTGGACATCATTCTCTCGGTGCCCATGTTCCTCCGCCTGTACCTGATTGGTCGGGTCATGCTCCTGCACAGTAAGCTCTTCACGGACGCCTCCTCGCGCAGTATCGGGGCGCTCAACAAAATCAGCTTCGACACCAGGTTCGTCATGAAGACCCTGATGACCATCTGTCCCGGCACGGTCCTGCTGGTCTTCAGTGTGACCTGTTGGATCATCGCTGCATGGACAGTCAGAGTTTGTGAGAGGTATCAAAATGACAAAATAACAAGTTTGGTACTGTCTTGATTTAAAGATGAAGTTTTTCCAGACGCATTTTAGGGAAAACGTCCCTATACCCTAAAAGTATCAAGTAAACATGTGTTTTCAAATAGTAATGGAATTGACCAGATGCCTAGAGTCTCCAAAAATTCATAAAACATGAATTATGCAAAGAAAAATACAGAGTTTAAAATTAATATTGATGGAGTTGAAATTGAAAATGTTGCTGAAAATAAATTCCTAGGTGTAATCATGGATAACAAATTGTCATGGAAAGCCCATATAAGTTATGTGACGACAAAAATAGCTAAAAACATCTCAATCATGAATAAAGTGAAACATTATCTTGATTTTCATGCACTACACACATTATATTGTTCATTGGTATTACCCTACCTAACATACTGTGTTGAGGTGTGGGGTAACAACTACCAATGTTCAACAACACCCTTATTCTTATTGCAGAAACGAGCTGTGCGGATCATTCATAAAACAAGCTACTTGCATCACACTCACAAACTTTTTCTTAAATCTAAAATACTAAAATTCCCAGACCTTGTAAAATTTAACACCGCCATCATGTTATTCAAGGCATTTCACAAATTGTTACCTCATAACATACAAACATATTTTGTGCCTAAAGAAAAAAACTATAATCTAAGAGGTCTTGGACATTTTACACTTCCCAAATTTCGATCTACCCGTAAAAGTTTCTGTGTGACTATGTGTGGTGTCAAACTGTGGAATGCTTTGGATCCTCAATTAATGCAATGCCAAGATATTCACAGATTTAAGACATTATATAAAAACAATGTCTGGTCCGAATACAGAGAGATTATGACTTGAATGTATTTCTCTTCTTTTCCCTCGACTCATGTTGGCATGTACTTGCTCTTGTTAATACATTTTGGAGTATGTTTCCTTACCATTGCTGGTATTTGCTGTTCATTACCATTGTTGGTATTTCTTTTTTTTTAAATTGTTTTTGCATGTAGTTTCTTTTTATTTTTTTTATTATTATTTTTTACATTTGTCCCTGATGACATTTTCAATAACTAATTTTGCTTATGAACAATATGTTTAAGATTTTGATATCTGTGCTAAATTTACGTTGGAGCTAAAACCGGAGCTTTTATTTTACTTTACCCTTGTAATGACTGAAGTAATTAGGGGTGGGATTAAATAAGTGTTCACTTCTTCCCACTCCTTTTCGAGCATCCATAAGTGTTATGTTAGTATCACTCACTCTTTTTGTTATTACCCCTTTGTTATATTTTGTACATGTACCTAAGTTGCTTGAACTAATTATTTCTATGCCCGCTTACTTGCTCGGAATGAATAAATAAAAAAAAAAAAAAAAAACATATTTTGGAGCGGACCGATAAAAATAAACCAATGGGATTCGTTCATCCCCAATGAACCAATGGAATGCGTTTACTCCCTTCACCCTCTTCCTGTTTCTCGCGAGTGCACCAGAGTTATCGGATTTTCTAAAACCTAAAATGGCTGACCAGAAAAGTTGGTGCTACGGCTAAGCTAATTAAACCGCTTACTGCACCTTTAAATCTTTTTAATTTGCATTTTCTAATTTCTGCACAGTCACAGTCAGTGATTAACAAGTTAAAATGGCATTATTAGCCTGAGCCAATACATAGCCCGGCTATTGTTATTCGCTGGTTTCATATTATTATAATTTTTTTATTTTTCGGCAAAATGTTTCTACCATGTCATTTTACAATCTGGATGGATTTAAGTAATATAATCATTTTGTCCCACGCCAAGGCAAATAAGGCCTTCGTTTTGGCCACTTTTGTAGATCCCTCAGACACACATTCCAAAATAACTCTGGTTCCGTCCCTGCTGATGGTATAGTGGTTACATTCTGCAAGGTGACTCACCCGAGAGTAGCGAGGGCTTTCATCTCCAATTGCGGCTTTAATTAACTATTATTTTCAAATAAATATATGAAAATAAATATATATAACTTTGTTATGCAAGTGCATAACAAAGTTGTGGAAACATGAAACTACGCGCTGTACTATAAAAGACTAATAGGCCAGGTGTTATTGTAGCAGTGTTACTTGTGTATGTTTCAGGAGATAATAATCCTTCTGTTGCTGCAGGTACCATGATGCACAGGAAGTAACCAGTACTTTCCTTGGAGCAATGTGGTTAATCTCAATCACATTTTTGTCTATTGGTTATGGTGACATGGTCCCTCACACCTACTGTGGTAAAGGGGTTTGTCTTTTAACTGGAATAATGGTAAGAGGAGTTAGTTAGAAATGTTCTGCAGGATCCATTGACTGTATGAAGTGGTAACTCTGATGTTCTGAAACACCAGGGGGCGGGATGCACTGCTTTGGTCGTTGCAGTTGTTGCAAGGAAATCTGAATTGACCAGAGCTGAAAAACATGTTCATAATTTCATGATGGACACTCAGCTTTACAAAAAGGTATCTTTAGGTATCTGCTACTGTGCAGAAAAATAAACAAAACTATTCTTATTGAGAGTTTGCCTAATAAAGCTTTTATTTAATAGATAAAAAACACAGCTGCCAATGTTTTGAGGGAGACTTGGCTCATCTATAAAAACACCAAACTGGCAAAGAAAATGGATCATGCAAAGGTACGGCATCATCAGCGCAAATTCCTCCAAGCTATTCACCAGTAAGTCCTTCTTTATTTACTCATGTACATTATCATTCCCTTTATATTACTAATTTTTGTTTTTTTGTTTTTAATTAGACTACGGCGTGTCAAAATGGAACAACGAAAACTGACTGATCAGGCAAATACTGTTGCAGATCTAGCCAAGGTTTGTTAAGGCAGTTGTAATGTGTCACTTTTCCACATATAAAGCAATTTGCAATTTTTGATTCTGTTGCAGACACAAAATATGATGTATGATTTACTGTCAGAACTGCAGCATAGAAGTGAGGAGCTGGATCCAAGGGTCGCAGCTCTAGAAGAAAAACTGGACTCTATGCTTGTGTCAGTGCAGTCTCTTCCCACAGCGATCACACAAGCAATGAGCAAGTTACAGACGGATTTCCTGGAGGATCTCGCCTGCCGGGTCCACTTCTTCTCATCATCTCTGAGCACCGAGAGCTGCACAGTCCCCGTGAGACAGCTCTGCCCAGGCCCCACCACATCAGACATACAGACCACATAAACCTGTACAGGCAACTTTTATATGGATTTTCCAAACTTCAAAATGATCAGTCAGTTTTGTCTACATAACATTTATTTCCAATGTGGTTTTAAACTAAATGGAAAAAAATCCCCACTCCTGTCCCCTCTTTGCCCCCAGGAAATAATAAATTCTGGAATCTAAGTGGGACCTGGTTGAATAAAGATCAATAAATTGCAACCAAAATCTAACTTATATGAACATTGGTAAACCCACTACCCTTTTGCATTTTCTTGTATTTATTTCCATGTGTTGAAGTTGTAATTATCATATGTGTTGGTGAATTCAACATTTTGGGGACGGCCACCAAGACAATTATTATAATCTTGGGTGATACAAAAACACACTCACAACGGATAACACACTAACACATGAAAATCACGCACATAGGCTACCAGATGCAAACAAAGAGCTACATCACCGATTGAAGTAACTAAGTTTTTGACAAAAGAAAATGATCCATTGTTTGCCATGCTGTTATAAGGATTCGGTTGTACACAATGTACACACTGAACGCTTCTGTTGTTTTTAAGAACACCATGCCTCCTTGTTACTACCGTACTCTCGCGATAACTGTAAAACGCTGCGCCCACGAGAGTGCATTTCGCGCGCTGGGGCAGAGCGCCATCCACTTTTCTGATTGACATATGCCTGGTCCAATCAGATGAAAACGCACAGACAGAGGTGACCAATGGAGACTCTAATCCGGTACAGAGGGCGGGATGTCAAAGTCTTGAAGAATTACTCATTGATCAGTCTTCCACAAGCTGCAGAGTTCTGCTTCATGCCACGATAAGGATTTTCTTCTCGGACAAACTTGCACAAGTTTATTATAATTTAACGGTTTTATTTTTTAATCTTGGACCAAACTGAAGGTAAACATTTACTCTTTAAAGAATCGTCTTACTTCATAGGGATCATGCATCGATTCTAGTGTAGCCTTTTGCTAGCTCACTGGTGCTAGCCAAAGTCTTCTACTTTCTGCTGGACTTTTCTGCTTTGTGTTATTTCATTTTATTTTTTACGTCATACTTCCTTTCATTTCGGGTTTAGTGGTTACTGCTGTACTATCGCGTGGATACGTTTGAACTGAACACAGATATTCTCATAGTGTCAAATTTAACGGAGATTCCTGTCACGACGTAAGAAATGTGCTGTAAACACCCTGGAAACTGCACTCATCTATACTTTTATTATTGACTCTTTTTGGATGTTACTTCCATTTCCTTGTTTATTCCATTTCCTTGTTGTTATTCCATTGATCCTACGTTCTTTTATACTTGTACATAATCATTCATGCTACAAACGGAAATCTACTTTTTTGTTTTGCGCCATTACAATTAGTTTCAGTTTTTGTCTGGTGTTTTTTTGCATTTTGGGTTTGTATGGAGGAGTCCAGGGCAGGATCTCAGCTGTGTGAAATCTCTCGGTGCCCGCTGAGTTCTCTACATTGCACTATGATGTGCCTGTTGATTGAGCAGAGTTTTGCAGCAGCAGATTCTACTTGTTTAAGGTATAAAGTAGTTGTTTTTATTGTTTGCTGGCGATGTCTCCTCCGGATGTGTCCTCGCTTTAAAGAAAGGGGCGGAGCTGCTGTTCAGTTTCCCGCACTGTATTCAAATGAGCTGCTTCCCTCTCTTTCTGCCTGACACACCGCCCCAGGACAAGTGGGAGGAGGCATGTGTGCAATAGACTAGTTTATGGCTTTAAAGTGATTCACATGAAGTATGACCCTAGTGTTTAGAGCTCAAGGAGAGTTCTAAACAAGTAGAGATCAAAGAGAGACCCTGCTGTGATCTCTGTTCTGGAGGTTCTTTATGAATCCAGACTTTTAAACCAACCTCTTTGAATCAATGTCTCTTCTGGCCCTTGGAAAAGCCATGTTCCAGCTTCTTCCCTCTGGCAGAAGATATCATTCGCTGAGATTCAGGTCATCTCGTTTTGCTCACAGCTTCTTTCCACAAACTTTATGGCCCAGTTTAGATGGAGACGCTGCGACAGTAAAACGTCTGTTTGTCCTTTTGTTTACATGAAGACCGTGTTTCAGGTGAAAACGCTAGCGTTGACAAACAGCCTCCAGAGTGGAAGAAAAAGGTGTGAATTCTCTGCTGCGATGACCTCAGCACTTTCCCCTCGTACAGTTGGACGTGCGCAGTAGAACAAACGTAAACAATGGCGACGAGTCGGATAATGCTACTACTGTGTGCTGCGCTAACGGAGGAGGATTCTACTACTTCGTCCAAAGCAACCCACATCTGTAGTTTCACTTTCCATTTTCACTGTTGCTTTTAAAGAATTATGTTGGTTCTTTCCGGTTTTTGGCCTGAGGAGGATGTTGGTGAGGAAGTGGTTCTACTGCTGGGGGTCGTGTTGTAAAGTTCCACTGCTCCCTACTGGCCGCAAGCTAGAACTGCATTGTTTTCTGTAGTTGTCTAAACACTCTGCTGCACTCTAATTAGCAAAGCCTGGTTGTCTTTGCTAATTGCTTTGCAGCTGCTCCGTCTAAACTGACTAAATTAACTTGCAGTTGTATTGAAACTTTTTTAAATGGTTTTTTTTATTCCTGTATTTTTAACTTTGTTCATGTGTCTTGTGCACATCTGGGACTTTAGGAAGTGTATTCCAATGGAGTTTTACTGCAAATGGCAAATAAAATGAATCTTGAGTCTGTGAAGGTCTTGTATCCATAAACCACAGCATTGTCCATAAACGTTGGAAAGTCAATTGTGTGTGTGTGTGTGTGTATGTGACTAATACGGCCAATAAAATGTGCATTATGTTCACCAAGTTTTTCCCCATATTTTATTGAAATTATGATGAAGTGAGTGGCTCTGGGTTTTTCTTTTATTCTGTCTACTCCGTTAGCTCTTTGTATGTATTGAATGAAATTGACGTGAAATGAGTAGAATTACTAGAAGTTGATTTAATCGCAACCAAGCAAATATTGAAATGGTTGCCAACAAATTTAGTAACATTTAAATATTTTTGAACTTTTTATTTTTTTTATTAAAAACATCAACGGTTAAGAACAAAAAAACAACACAACCCCATAACAGAACAAAACAAAAATAATTTGGAAACATCTCATTCCTTAGGTCAGAACCGCCAACAGTTAACAAGTTAATTGTGTCCCAAACAGCATCTTGTCTTTGTGGATTTTTTTTTTTAACATTTAAACATATATTTTTGAACTTCACATAACTTAAAAACACACTCTGAAAAATTACCCAATGTGTAGAAAGTTAAGTCGTCTCTGAAGTCGTTTTCCAAGGCCATAACTTGAGCTTTGCGTTGGTCAAATATATGAAAAAAGATATTCATGGACGTTCAGGAGCCATAGAACTAATCTATTATCACAAGCATTAATTACAGCTCTTGTAGTGACGCATGTTCTTAATGCACTCATTTAGGGCTGGGCGATTAATCGATTTAAATCATTAATTCGAGTTTTACGTTTAGGGCGATTTCTTTTTTTAAAAATTCGATTTTTATTTTCTCCAGCGCAGAACTACAGCGCTAACGCGCTAGCCGCGGGTCTATGGTGTTGAGCAGTCATTTTGAAGCTAACCTAATGCTAACAGTCTCCCTCTGGCCTGATGCTCGCTCTCACAGTTGGTGCTGTTGCAATAACACTTCAAACGTTCAAGAATCAGACTTTATTTAAATCGCCAGAACACACACACACACGCACGCAGGCTCCGGTCGCTATGTTCGTACGCCATGTTCGTACGCCACATCTTTCACGCTCTCACGCTCGTTATTCCAAAGCGCACTCCCGTGTCCGTGGCGCGCACACACTCGTGTCCCACTGAGCCGCTGCACTTTGGGGAAAGACACGTCTCACACATTGCTCTCATTGCTCTGATACAAACAATGTGTTCCCCGCTGTCTGTTAGCTACAGTAGCTGCTACAGTAGCTGTTAGCTACTGCTAAGTAGCTGTTAGCGACTGTAGCTGCTACAGTAGCTGTTAGCTACAGCATCAGAATGGAAACAGGAAGCTCGCACAATGCGGGAGTCACTGAAGTTAGTATTAGCGCCACCAGCTGGACCGAGCGGTGTACTACAGCACAGTTACTCAGGCACAGTTGAAAGAACAAGCATGAAAACCCGAGGAGGCTTTTGGAAAAGACTGTTACAACATTTCTATTTTGAGTAATCAGTTTTTAAAATGTGATATTTCATGTAAATAATGCATGTGTTTAATAGGATTGATATATTTGCGATGGGCCTTGTTTGTGTGATTAAAGTTATTTTGAAGGTGCATAGTGTCATTGTAAGTGAAGTTATTATAAAACTGTTAAGCTACATTTTCACTGTTTACAATGGCAGAGCCATCTCGTTTACAAGCATGTTTTAAGGCTTAATTCCTGTTACACTTATGCTCCATGGGGGTTTAGATTAAACTGCATAAAGGAAAATCTATTTCTTTGTCAGTTGTAGTTTGTTTTTAAATAGAAAAAAAATAAATCGATTAAAATCGAAAATCGGATTTGGTGTGAAAAAATCGGAGATTTTTTTTTTGCCATATCGCCCAGCCCTACACTCATTACTGATCTTAATCATGTTTTTTCCGGCTGATGTAGGGTCGGTACAATGTGGATTCAAGTCCGCACCATGGATGGGAAGAACACCCACCGGGTTGACTCTCTCTCCAAACTCACCAAAGTGGACGAGCTAAGAGTTAAAATAATGGAACTGTTTGATGTGGAGCCAGAAAGACAGAGGCTGTTTTACCGGGGCAAACAGGTGAGTCTTTATAAAAATAAGGTGTATACTAAAATAAATGTGTACACAGTATGTTTTTGACGTCACATCTTTCCTTTTTAGATGGAGGATGGCCATACTATATTTGACTACAATGTCGGCCTCAATGACATTGTGCAGCTGATGGTTCGCCAGATGGCTCCTCCGGCTGAAGTGGTGAAAGACAAAGAAGCCGAGCTGTCTGATTCTGATTCTGGCTGTGGTTCCACTCAGAGCGAGTCCGATAAGAACTCAACTCAAGGAGAGGAAGTGCCAGCAGCGAGCACATCAGCAGAGGCGGCCGCTCCAGAGCTCGTTGATCCAGGTTTTGGTCATTACAAGGTAAACGGATTTTCAAAACTAAGTTGGTTTGTTATGTTGTCTGTGTGGTTTGTTTACATTTTTTCTGCTGGAATGTTCTTTTATAGATCAATGAATTTGTTGATGCAAGAGATCTGAATATGGGAGCTTGGTTTGAGGCCCAGGTTGTAAATGTCACAAAGGCTGAAAAGACTGAAGGTGAAATGGAGACTCAGCCAGAGGAGATCATTTACCATGTCAAATATGAAGAGTAAGTATGTCAGGTTCCAGCTGTGAAATAATTGTATTACTTTTTGCTTCTGGATAGCCCTATTTTCTATTAAAGGTGCAGTAAGCGGCTTTGTTAGCTTAGTCGTAGCACCAAGTGTAAACCTCTCCTCCAAACCAAAAATTTTAATTTGAAAACACATGATGACTTGATACTTTTAGCGTTTAGGGACGTTTTCCCGCAATATAAAAAAAAAAATGCGTCTGGAAAAAATCACACTGCATCTTTATATGAAATCATAGATGCGCAAAATGGCCACATTGACCAAATCATGTTCTGTATTTTCAGTTACCCAGAAAATGGAGTGGTTAAAATGGCCGCCAAAGAGATCCGTCCTCGAGCTCGCACTGTTTACCAGTGGCACCAGTTGGAACCTGGCATGATTGTTATGGTAAACTATAACCCGGATGACCCCAAAGAACGGGGCTTTTGGTATGATGCCGAGATCCAGAGAGTAAGAGAAACCCGAACAATCCGTGAGATCTATGCAAAAATCCGCCTTGGGTAAATATTTTTTTTTATTTGTGATTATTGAGGTATGAATATGGATTGTAATGGTTTGTATGTTCCTCTAGAAATGCAGAGGACTCTCTCAATGACTGTCGCATTATGTTTATTACTGAAATCTACAAAATTGAAGAACCTGGCAGTCAGAATGATGCTCCAACAGGAAATGAGAGTCCGTTGAAAAGTATGTATGGAAATGTCAAATATCAACAATATTTTGTTTTGGGAATGTTTGTTCATAATGAAGTTGCAATAGGCCTGAAGGGTTAATCAGTTTGACCAGAGACAAATTGGAACCACTGCAAGTGTTTTGCAGATAAGATTTGATTTATTCAAACATTTAAACATTTATTACATAAAAATAGAAAATGTATACAGATTATGTCTGAAATGGAATAGAAAGAAGCTAGGGCTTATTGTGCCGATCCCTATTTACAAAACAAAAAAGCTGCCAATGTTTATCTGTTCCAACTATGTTGCCTTTTTTCAGTGTTTTAGGAATGAGTAATATTTGTATAAAATGCAGTTATTACTTTATTAATGAGTTTAAAAGAAATTAAAAAAGCACCTATGACATAAATAAAAATGTACAAAGATATGCTTCGCCTTTCGGCCTCGTAGGTTCTTCTTCAGGGCACGTTTTATTATTTTTACTTAAAATGTCAAGAGTGCCTTGGATTTTTAATTTCTAAGTTTCCTGTGTTTTTACCACTGCCTCACATAGTTGTACAATCTTCTTACTTTAAATCCCTTTGACCGCAATACAATCATGATGCTGAAAAACCAGCACCGCTATTGCTATGGACATAATAAACCCTAACCCTGTATTTTTAACCTTAACATGTTGCACAGTTCATGTCTTTTTGCACAACGAGTGTTTCCATCGTTTCCTATACGTGACATGTAAATTTCTCCTTTGTGAGATCAATAAACTTTCTCTTGTATTTTGATTAGGATCAAATGGACCGGAGTGCAAGCACTGCAAAGATGACCTGAAGAAGAACTGTCGCTTGTGTAACTGTCACGTGTGCGGCATAAAGCAGGACCCTGACAAACAGCTGCTGTGCGACGAGTGCGACATGGCCTACCACACCTACTGCCTCAACCCGCCCCTCACCTCCATCCCTGAGGACGAAGACTGGTGAGTGCGGCTTTGCCTGTTCATAAACCACTAATGAAGATGAAATATTCTTATCTGTTTTTTAGGTATTGCCCAAACTGCCGCAATGACTCGAGCGAGGTCGTGCGTGCAGGAGAGAAGCTTAAGGAGAGCAAAAAGAAATCAAAGATGGCGTCTGCAAACTCCTCCACCCAGAGAGACTGGGGCAAAGTGAGTGCTATGGACGTTGGCTTAAAATATTCATCAATCGAATTATTATTCACCGGTTATAATTTGGCTAGGTTAATCGGTTTTGAAACTTGCACACATAGAACTAATTATGCATCTTTTACGCAGTCATTTTTGTTTCTTTTGAGTCGTACTTTTCTCTCAAATGTGGTGAACAAAATTTGACCAAAATGCACTTTACATTTTGACACATTTTAGTTAGTTTTGAAAGTAAATTGTTTTGCTCAATTTAATATTTAGGATGCAGGAGTCTGTCAAACTGTTAAGGCCTGTGTACACTCGCTTGGTATCGTTGGTTATGGTTGCGGTTACGTTGGACCTACGTAACCACAGCTGGTGGTACACTCGCGCGTTCGACTGGCGGAGTTTTGAAGAGCATGTTGTAATCCCACAACCAACCACACGATGGCGAACTCACAGGAGTTGCATGAGAAACCAAAGCGGTCTCATTTATACTGCTACTTTCTCCTCTTCAGAACAAAAACATGAACAAACCGAGCTGTTTGAGATCATTACATGTGTTTCTACTGTAGGTTTATGTGTTATAGTTCTATGGACTCATCCTTTAAGCAGTCTGCTCCGAAGTGCCTCGTCCTGCAGCCGCTCCATGCTTCACAGAAAGTAATCACACACGGACCAATCACAGCGGAGCTTCCTTGCGGCGACCCTTACGTAGTTTGAAATTAGGGTGCGTGACAGGCTACGTAAGGGCCTTGCAGTGATCCACGCGTTGCACAAGTGACGTCTCCACAGTAAGCTCCGCGCGACTATACACTAGGCATTAAGGTGGTCTAACATAATCCAGGACACATTGGTCTCTTCTTATAGACTAATATTTTCTATATTTGTGTTTTATTCTCTGATCTGTGTTGCCGATTTCCATGCTTTTTAGTCCTCTGAGATAACTACTGTTGTGATTTAGGGCGATACAAGAATAGATGACTTAATTACCAAAAACGTATTCGGCTGTAGTGCTAAAGAACCAATAAATCAACTTTTTTCTTAAATTACTAGGGAATGGCTTGTGTTGGACGGACTAAACAGTGCACAATCGTCCCATCAAATCATTATGGACCCATTCCCGGTGTTCCTGTCGGCTCTCTATGGAAGTTTAGAGTACAGGTTTGTGATGGTTTACAGATTTTATACTTGTTCGATACATTGGGAGTTGTGTTCTACCGTTTGCTCATTTATTATCGTTCTTTATAGGTCAGTGAGGCAGGCGTGCATCGTCCTCATGTGGCAGGAATCCACGGTAGAAGCAACGATGGCGCTTATTCCCTTGTGCTCGCTGGAGGTTATGAAGACGACGTGGTATGTTAGAAATCTTCTTTGTTTTCATGCATGTTTTTTCAGTTCTCAAACAGACTTTTCACCCCAAATCGCAGGATGACGGAAACGAATTTACATACACGGGGTCTGGAGGCCGCGACTTGTCCGGGAACAAGAGAACTGCGGAGCAATCCTGCGACCAGACTCTCACACACATGAACAGGGCCTTGGCTCTCAACTGCAACGTGTCTTTTAACGCCAAAAATGGGGCCGAGGCAAAAAACTGGAAAGACGGGAAGCCTGTCCGGGTTGTTCGGAACTCCAAGGGGGCTAAACACAGTAAATATGCCCCTGAAGAAGGCAATCGATACGACGGCATTTACAAGGTACGGCGTCACAAATGAGTTTCAATCAAATGTTAATTATAAAGCATATTTCTCATACAGTTGTGTTAAAAACAAGTCCCGCATGAGTTTGGGTTTTGAGACATGAAATGATGGAATTGTGCACCTTTGTTGTAGGTTGTTAAGTACTGGCCAGAAAAGGGAAAGTCTGGCTTCTTGGTCTGGAGATATCTTTTGCGGCGAGACGACAGTGAATCTGCACCGTGGTCAAAAGATGGGAAGGAAAGGATCAAAAAGCTTGGTCTTATTTTGCAGGTATTTTTCAATGCAATAACGCCATGTAAACTAGAGGTGGGGAAATGTCCGATTCTTTAGGGTAATCGTGATTCGGGCGTGGAAGAATCAAGAACAATTCACATACATCTAAATTCAGATTTAGAGGGATCCAACCAACCCTCGCCGTGAGATCCCACCTGCTCTGGTCGCCTCGCTCACAGATAACGTCAAGGCGCACTCCCCCACACACACATGCACACTTGTAAACATTGACTCTCAGCTGATTGCAAAGAACGAGATCCGTGGTCGAGCTGTCTGCCAGAGTCTAGATCCATGCACACAGCAGCAGAGCGAAAACAGGAAAAGAAACTGGAACCTAACTCCGACCTCGAGATTGTTGCTGAAGTTGGACCCTTCTGACTGATTATTTGTAACTAACATGAAACACTAAAAGCAGTAGAAAGCACCTTGAGTTGATCACTAACGTTCAAATGATCATGCATTTCCATCCAATGGTTATTTTCATATAGGTAATAAAATATAATGGAAATGAATTAAACTCTGGAAATGTCTAAAGTGCATCAATAATAGTTTTATAATCAAATCACAGCCTCTGAATTGTTATGAGGTGCCCCAAGATTCCCGCCCCAAATGTAAACCATGTTGTACTTTAACAATATGTACTTTTTTTTTAGTATCCCGCTGGTTATCAAAAAGAAAAGGAGAATAAGAACGAAGTGGAAGATGGAACACCAGAAGACACTCCCAACAAGTCAAAAAGAAAGAGAAAGTCCCAGGGCTCGGGTAAGTTACACTCCTCACGTTTTAAGAAGGTCTGTGGGGACATTTCAGTTTGATAAATATACATATACACCTCATGGCATGCAGCGTATTATTACTTACGCGCTCCTTATGGGCAAAATGGGTTAAGTATCTTGCCCAAGAACACAACAAGAACAGACGTCAGAGGAGTCGGTGAAGGTCTTTTGGTGGGCTCGAACCCACGACCTTCAGGCTCAAAGGCCAATGCACTACCACTAAGCCTTAGTGGCATCAGGATGGGTCAAATGCAGGGGAGGAATTGCCCTACGGGGATTAATAAAGTGCACCTTTACCTGTACCAACTGAACCACTGTCGCCCCATCATTATCATTTCAACTTCTTAAATGTTTTGTTTTCCAGAATCTGCCAAGAGCTCGCCCGCCAAGACGCCAAAGAAGACAAAAGTCGAGGCGTACAAACTTACCAAGGAACAGAAGGCACTTATCAAGAGTGATGAGCTGAACAAAAAAGTGTGGGATGAAGCCATGCAGTCTTTGTCTCTGGGACCAGTGAGTAAAACTAAAATATCTTGCATGGCGAGACTGAAATGTATGGCTTATGTATATGACGTTTTTACAAGTGAATTAAAAGGTATTTTTCTGCAGAAATTCTTAACTCACGTTGAAGAGGTGTTTCTCTGCATTTGCTGCCAGGAAGTCGTGTTTCAGCCAATCACCACAGAGTGCCATCACAATGTCTGTCGGGTGAGTTACTTTTTTATTTAACGATCTTTAATTAATTAGAGGTTGTTTTTTTTTTTACTCTCAAGGCAATAAGTTTGGTGTTCTTGACTAAAATCATGGTTAATTGATTTTATATGATCACAACTGCATAAATTCTGGTTATTTGCAAATACTCAACTTTGTGGTTTGTGGAGGAAGGTCTTTTTATTTACATAATGGACAGGAGTTCAAATTGGAGCGGCATATGTGGCCCGTTTAATCAGACTCTTTATCATTTACAGAGCTTGCTGTTATTTTTCAGAGTGTCAGGGAGGAGCTAAAACCTATAACTAATTTGCTTTTTTGGATACACAGTTCAACTTGCTTTGACTTGTCACAACCAAATGTCATACGTCCAGTTGGATGATGTCTGTCTGTCTATGTGGTTCTGTGTTAGCATTGCGACCTGATGTTTTTGTGAATTCCTCTGTGTCCGTATTTTTCTTCCTGACCCAGCTGTGAGCCAGTATGCACGGAAAACATACTTTTATTGACTGAAATTAATATCATATTTTCAATTTTTCACTTAGTTTTTCTTGTTCATTTCAACCAAAAGAGGTGTAGGCTTTTAGTCATGTGAGAGATGTTGCTCTACTGCAGGGGTATCAGTCACTTTATACAAAAAGACGGAGTTTATCCTTTTATGCAGTCATAATATAATCTATTAAATAATTACGACAAAACATACAATACTCTGACAAAACAAAAAATATACAATAATACTGTATAACCCTATAATTATACTGATAATATGTATTGGCTCAAAATATTCATTCAAGATCATGTGTTAAATTCTAAATTGTTCTCTAATTGTATCTCAGGAGATACCTGAGAGGTGCCGGTGAGCTACTGCTAGCTCCCAAGCTACAGGTTGGAGATGTGTGTAACTGAGTTGGTTTGATGACATTGTGAACTTTAGGCTTTAGCATCACCTGCTCCACCCTTTTAAACAATTATACAATTTTAGACATTATGGATGTGTAGGTTGTAATTTTGCAGATTCAGTTTTAAATTTATTTGTATTGACGGCTCACGTTGTAGTCATCGGGGTGGGTGAGTGGGCAGTAACTTTAAAAGATTCAAAAATAAAACTGCAAAATTTGATTACATTTGGATGCCACCTCAACTATTTAAATTTGACATGTCAAATTTCAGGGGCGACAGTGACTCAATTGGTAGAGCTTGTGTCCTTGGGTTGAACACTTAACCCCACTTTGCCTGAAGCCCAAGCTGAAAGATCACAGCTCCTGTGGACTCAGCACCTCCAGGAGGATCAGTGAGGGGCTGGTGCGGAGTGTACTGGGTGCAGCTCTGACTGCCACCCCCCTGACCCAGAAATGGATTAAGGGAAAGAAAATGGATGGATGTCTAATTTCCATATGTTCAGTAGAAAGCAATGATTCTCTGTAAATTTAAAAATACAAGTGGAAAATTGCAAACTATAGTGGTTGGCCATGGTTATTTATATAACAATGATATTAAAGAGGCCTGACAAAAATACATTTCATGCAACAAACCTTTTTTGTTTCTAAGGACTTTTTTTCACTTTTTAAATGTTTTGGCTCTTATTAGCATATTAAGTGAAAGACCAACAAATCTTCATTTTTGTGAAATGAGTAAATAATTTGACTTTTTAACGTTAACCAAAAACAATGGGTTACAAGTCTCCATCATGGTTCTAATGTATTTTTCCTCACAGGAATGTCTCCAGCGCTCCTTCAGGGCAGATGTGTTCACTTGTCCCGCCTGCAGACACGACTTGGGCAAAAATTACTCCATGGCCATCAACCAGTCGCTGCAAGACCTTCTAAATCAGTTTTTCCCAGGCTACAGCAGCGGCCGATGATCTTTTGAGTTTGTTTTTGGTCTACAGTAAACCATAAGGAATCTAGTAATGGCAATAAAGAATCCCTTTCTTAATATATTTTAATGAATTGTAAAACTACATTTTGTGGACTGAAATGCAACTAAACATCATTGTTCATTATGTAGTAGTTCTGATTATTTTTTTCCAGTATATAATACAGCCATTAATTATAATTTCAGTATTTTGTTTTAATTGTATTAACCGTTATATTTTAATGTTATAACCGTTTTTAAGTTCTCAAATGTATTCACTGTTCAATCCGTTAACTGGACCAATTTTAGTTTGACTACAACTTGAATGTGATGTATGCATTTTCTTTGTACTCTGCACCAGGCTTCAAGATTTGTTTTTAAGCATTTATCTGGACTTTATGGGTTCTGCCAGCTAGATCAATTTGGTGCCTTTTTATTAAACGGAAGGAAACTGGTATTTTGGAGATTTGATGTTATGGCCCAAAGAAATGTCAAGTAAAGAACCGCTCTTTGTTTTCATAGCAACATGTCCCAATGAAATAGAGAATTTGTACTTGATTTTATACCGTTTGCATATTTTACATTGATATATTGTTAAAAATGCACTGCTCCTTTAATGTGTATACCTGCCTTTTGTGTAAAGTGTTTTCCATAGTGTGACAAGATTCATCCCTTCCACTTTGGAAAAGACCAGATTGCCAAATTCTCCCAAATTGTATTGGATTTCTCACTTTGTCATCATTGTCAGTAGTGGTTTAGTTTTTTTTTGTTTTATTTTTAGAAATGTTACCTGTTTTGTATGTTCTTCAATAAAAAGCAACAAGGATGGCTATTTTATGAAGTTTTATTTTATGGAACTAGTTACAAGGTTTTAAAGAATGGGACCTAAATATTTAGTTAAAGCTTTGTATATAGTAGGATTTTCTACTTCCGGGTGGATCATTAAGACTATTGGTCCTCCCAATTGTCAATCATTCTTGATACGTGCTCGTTAAATAAGAACAGGTTTTTTTTGAAAAAAAAAAAAAACAGGGTGGTTCTTAAAATTTGGAAAGAACCAAAAAATGTCATTCCTTTAACCTACGCTGGTTTTCAACAGAAGCATATTTGTACAACCTTTTTTTTTCCAAATTTCCACACAGTGGGACGAATAAAGGATCTTTTCTTTTTTTGGCATAATTAGTTCCGAGCTGCAAGGCCTACGTGCATCACGCACACGTACGCCCCGTGCGTAAAGTTAGAATGCGGTGTACGAGCGTCATGATTCACATTGGCCCAACAGCCTGTCAATCACTGGACTCCTAGCAGTAATGGCGACGACCAATTCCATGCAACCAATCAGCAGCAAGGAGACGGCGAGGGGCGTGACTCTAAAAACTGCTAGTATCAACCGAGGCTAATGCTAACACAGTCTAGGATGCTAATAGAATCGAAACTGGCCCACGGGTTTTAAAGAACGATACCTCCTCCACGGACCCGAGGAGAAGGGTGATTTATTTCGCACAGGAGGTATGTTTGGAGAGGAATGGTCTTGTTCTGCGGGTGTTGTGTTTTGTGTGTCGGACGGTGTTATTCGACGCGTGTTATTTTTTTTCGACTGCAGCCGGAGCTAAGCAGCAGTGAGATATATATAACTGCTATAGCGTTATAGCTTTATAACATCCCATGGCCATGTTACCTGCCATCCGTGCTTACAAACGTTGCATTCTCCACATTTGTAATTGAACATATGCATGGTTTGAATGTCGGTCATTGTAACTCCAAGTAAATCCAGATTTTTATGTGACCGTAAGCTATAACTAGCAGCTACTGGTGCAACATTAGGAGTCTCACATCAAATCTGCCCAGACTCATGCGTTACATTTATAAACACGTATATATTTCAGTGTGTCGTTTAAGAAACTACCTACATTTGTTTACTTAACGACTCAAGTTAGTTTAGAGCCAGGCAAACTTAAATGTCCTGTAGGCCCTTTGTTATGGTGCTCAGCTGGGAGTGTGTGCAAGTACTTTATAAGAAAACATAAACTTTATGGATTTCAAATCGAGTTATGTATACGTCGCATTTAGGATAGATAGAATCACTCAGGGTGTGCAAAAAGCCAGGAAATATAGTCTCAATATATATTATGTACAATAAGAAATGTAAAGTTTTTTTAGTCCTACTGCTGGTCATCGAAGTGACTTTTTGTACAGTCTGACAGCGGTGGGGACGTTTAGGGCTGCTAACTGTAACTTGGTGTTTCTCCTTGTTGAACAGTTTTTTAATATACATTTTAGTGACTATGGAACTGTATTTTAATATGTATTTGAGTAATCTGTCCTTTTTATATATGTTAATATAAAAGTTATATGATTGTATTGTCAAGAACTACAGATGGAAAGCAGCTGGTGCAGCCATCATTGTATTGCAACTGCACAATGACCTTAATAAATTAAATTAAATGTATACTTAAAGCTGACCACCTAACCATAAGATAATATGCAGTCATTGTTCACAAGCCTTGTTATTTGATTTTTGCATATTCACTTGTTATTTAGGTGGAGTGTTCCTCTGAAATTTCCACTTGACTCCCAGGAGTTTTCTGAAATAACATGATCATCAACGTTGTATTTTAGCTGTCGATAACACAGATAAAAAAGATCGTGGATGGCAGTCAGAACATCTAAACTTGTGAAAGGTCTATGGGTCACGGCTGTACGAATTAAGAATTAAAATCTATTCAGAAGTATTTTACTGGAAGGCCTGCATGCAAATCGTTGTTTGTGGACACTCATGAACATTGACCTATTTACTCATTTGACCTTTTTGTTTCACTCCTTTCTAAGACTCAATACAGTTATGATACTGTACATTGCATAAAGTAATATACATTGGCCTTTCATGGGGTATGACTGTATGGATTTCCATTCATAAAGATTCCTTCATTTAAAGTGATTGTCTGGAGTTTGTCAGAAAGAGAGACAGAGAGGTGCTTGATTTGAAAAAAAAAAAAAACAACGCAGGCTCCCTCTTTCTGATTGGTCTACACCTGCGTTTCCGGAACACTTTTAAATGTTAATCAGAGAACACATTTCACATATACATTATTAATACACATGCACGGAGGTTTTCAGAATTACTTGTTAAAGTTTTCATGAAAATAATAATGTTTTTATGCACAAAAAAGCAATCGCAGCAAACCCGGAAGTGCTATTATCATGAATTGCACATTATAGGACACATCTGCAGAGGATCTGATTATGGATATAGGTTCAGTATATACATAAGTAACTCAGCGCGGATGTTCAGAATTCTTTGTTCAGTTTTCATGTAGTTCCAGAGCCTATAAAGGCTTGATTCGGAGGCTCCGCGAAAACAAACAACTGAGCATGCGTGCAGCTACGAGCATCAGCGTGATGATTGACAGCCCTTGGCATGACTCGATTGGTTAACGTGGACGGCATCGTGGATTCTGAGCTATAGCTAAGAGAAGGGAAGGCGGGACTTACCCGTAATATTAGAATTAATAAAATGACTTATTTTATATCAGTATTTAAGGCCAGGAGGTCAATTTAACACATTTCCTAAAATTTGTGATTCATTTAGAGTTACAGACTATCACTTTAATCCATGTACTCTATAGTGTACATTTTCTAAAATTACAACACTAATTCAAACTACGCCAAAGGCATTTGTTTACATTTTTTAAAACTTAATTAATTGTTGATCATTATCATCAAAGTAATGATGATTAATTTCTACGGAGTCACTCAGACTTCTACACAGAGGTTACCAGGTTAAAAAGAGCCACAAATCCTCCGTGTAGAGCTGCCTAGACACCCATGGTTTTAAAAGTATTTTATAGTTCTGCACTTAGATATGTTTAAATTAGCTGTAAATAAATGTTTTTGTTTAGCTTTAGCATGAAGGCAGATATGTGATGTTTAAGGCATGTGACAAAACATTAAGCAAAGGCCGGGAGAGGATGAAGGCCTCGTTTACATGGAGACGCTGCAAAGCAATTTGTAAATAGGCCTCGCTCCAATTTTGGGGGCATCACTTTATTTTGGTCTATAGTCAATTGTGTAAAACATTATCCCAGGTTCACTGACTTTTCAGGATCTAAACGACTAATCGATTGCTTAAGTGCAGCCTCACTAATTATTTTGACTTTTTAGCACTCTATTGGTCTATCTATCCTCTTGAGTGTGAGGGGCAGTGTGTTTCATAAGATTATCATTGTGTTTGATGCTGGAGTAAGATGCATGTCTCTGTCTTTCAGATACGTCTGCACATCTTCTGAGGTCTTCATGGCTTCTGAGGTGCCCATGGAACAGGGCCACGCGCCAGATCCTCCTGCTCCCAGCCCCTGTCCTCCCCAAGAAGAAATGATAACCCTTGGCCCTCCAGCGACTCCACTTCCTGATCCAGTCCCTGCTGAACTACCACAGTGTGACCCCCAGCCCCCTTCAGCCTGGCCCAGTGCCTCTGACGGGCCTCCAGAGTCCGCTCCTGCCCTAAACCCTGATGTGGCCTCCATCTCATGTCCCGTCTTGGGTCCTGATGGGGCTCCATTGGCGGTCCCTGATATGACCCCTCTTACGGGCCCTCCTCTTGGCCCTCAGGTGCCTTCAGGGCCTTTAGTTCTGCCCGTCTTTACAAAGAACCCCAACTGCAAGATCATGACGTTCAGACCAACCATGGAGGAGTTCAAGGACTTCTCCAAATACATCGCCTACATGGAAAGTCAAGGAGCTCACCGTGCGGGTCTGGCTAAGGTGAGAGGATGTAATCTTTATTTATATAGCGCCTTTCATAGACCAGAGTCACAAAGTGGTTTACAATTGTGGGCAATTGTCTCTCACTCCACACTGAGATGGGAGCGAGGCCAGTACAAGAGGCACATGCCATGTGCACGACACCGTCACACACACTAACGACAACAAAAACTGTCCTCACGCGGTTACAACTGTTACAAACAACTACATATCCCAACACTTTTGTGATAATATCCAGCAATAATAGTGACACATACAGTACACACACATACAGTACACACACATACAGTACACACACATACAGTATACACGCATACAGTACATACATATACACACACATATACAGTACATACACATACAGTACATACACACACACACACATACAGTACATACACATACACACACACACATACACATTCTCTACTTCCTTTTATTCCTTTATCTGTATGAATTTCTTGTAAATATTGATTTGCATTGTTTCTGTATTTAGAAATTTGTCAAAAAAAATGCAGAAATGATACAATTTATTGTTAGTGACATTTGCATCGCACTTCCTGGTTTTCAAGATGAATCAGATTCAAATGGAAGTGAACTATCTTAAACATCAGCAGCCACTTCCTATGCTGTATCTACAATGTAATTATATATATATATATATATATCTTACACGTGTAAGCAAGTGAAATTCCTTGTTGACATATTTTTTTGTGTTCTCAGGTGATTCCCCCTGAAGGATGGAAACCCAGAAAGAATTATGAAACGATTGAGGAAATGGTAATTCCATCTCCCATCACTCAAGTGGTTACCGGCCAGTCCGGTCTGTTCACGCAGTACAACATCCAGAAGAAGTCCATGACGGTCGGAGAATATCGCAAGCTCGCCAATAGCAAAAAGTGAGTTCGTTTTGGCAGTTTATTTTTTTATTAGTTGTACAATGTGAGATCTTTGATACAAATATGTTGCATCATCAGATACTGCACTCCTCGCCACAAAGACTTTGACGACCTCGAGAGAAAGTACTGGAAAAACCTCACTTTTGTCTCGCCAATCTACGGGGCGGATGTCAGTGGCTCCATTTATGATGAGGCAAGTTTCTCGTGTGGATTTAAAGTTTATGGTTGTGGTCTTTCCCTTTCTTACTACTTCCTTACTACTTCATTCATTATGCTTATTAAGAGTGTAGTTAGTAATATCAGCTACACAGAAATGGTAGTACTACCTCTCATGGTACACTGCAGAGCTCCTATCTATGACCTCAGATCCATCTTGTGTAAAGCCTGGTTCACACGAGACGATTTAAAAATTGTCGGCCGATGTTTTGTTTTTTTTTTTTTTTTTTTTCTCCCCACACACAGAGATAAAAAATCACGGGTCTAACCACTTTGGTCGTACAGTGTGTGGTGCGCAGCCACACGGCAAAATCACGCAAACCACACACATCACACACGAACCGATTTCGCCCCTGAGTATTCACAGGTCACCGGAAATCTCACAACATCTCTCGAGAGCAAGCGTGACTTCAGAGTAAACAGAGTGTGCAGGCCTCTCCTCTTCACGCAGCCTATAGAGACTCTCGTCTGACCACAGCAGCCACAGACACCATGAGGACAGACACATACATGTGGATTTTACTGCTCTACAGTTCTCTGGCCCGTACTGTCTGTGCTGTTCAACAATACAGTTTGTACGGACTACCTGTGAACGCATCACACACACTGCTAGACATGAAACTTTACAAGCGTGCAAACCAACAAGCACGGCTGCTGTAACGGCTGCATCAACACGTCTGTACTGTATTAGGACAGAGTGCAAAGTAAACGTACAAACACAACCCATCAGTCTGATCATTTAGTGTACTAATCCTGTCCGAATAGGGCTTATGCCAACACTACCTGTGCAGCAGCAATTTCTGCCCAATTCCTCTCCTTGTCATTTCGGTGATGATGTTCTTCACACAACATGTCAGACATACATACATTCACGGTGTTGCCAGAGGTCAACAAGTTGTTCCTTCATCTCTGATGTCCACCGAACTTTCTGGTGCGCCATGCCGCTGACTGTTTTGGTTTTTTTATGGTGTTTCCTCGCCGTCTCGTCTTCTGATTGGCTACACGCTGCAGTCATGGCAACGGGCTCGTCTGTCCCCGGGGGACACCACACACGAAGATGATTCGGGCCAAAACAATCCAACATGTTGGATATCCCCGATATTATGATTGGAGCAGTCCCGAAGTCCTTCCGAGCGACGAGCCCAGTCTTAACACACCACACACGGCAGGAAAATCCATCAAATTTTTTTGTTACGATATTCGGAGCATTCTTACGATTGTCGTAGGGGTAAATCGGGTCCAAAATCGGCCTAATTATCCTGCCGTGTGAACCAGGCTTTAGCTGGAACTTAAAGGAGCAAAATTTAAAAATCTGGCCAAAAGTGGTACTGCAGCCTCTCCCACTCTCCCTGTCTCAGGTTGCCAGATATGCAGATGAAACCAGCTGGGACCATAACAGCTGAATAGACAAGAGTTTTGTCAACAACAAATCTATAACCAACACCTTTTTTCACAAAGATAGAATTCCTGGTTTTATTCCTTGTTTTGTCGTTAATGATTTGAGAATCATAACGAGACCTTTTTTAGTTGAGTGAGATTAGTGAGTGAGATTAGCTCTACGCGGTGAGTTCTGGCGCCCGGATGACAGACTTTCTGATTGGTGAAATGGTGGAGGGCGGGACATTGAAATTAAAACAATAACAAGATTTAGGGGCTGTAAAAGTAATTTAGAAATTCAAATATCTCTGAACTACTGTTATCAGTTAAAAAAGGATTGGAAAAGAGCATGTTTTATTAAGAATCTTTTTACACATTGGGGCCCTTTAATGATTACTATAATTTCTTACTTATTGCTTCTGTAATGAGGTCTTTTTTATTTCTAGGGTGTCCATGAGTGGAACATTGGTCATCTTAACACCCTTCTGGACATGGTGGAACAGGAGTGTGGCATCGTCATTGAAGGGGTCAACACCCCATACCTGTATTTTGGAATGTGGAAAACAACGTTTGCCTGGCACACTGAGGACATGGATCTCTACAGCATCAACTATCTGCACTTTGGGCAGCCAAAGTCCTGGTAAGTCACACCAAACTACACATGCATCTTTGGATGAAGCATTTACTGCTCTGAGTCTTCAGTGGAAGAAGACTCCTATTACTCAGCCTATACTGAAGTCTAACTAAGCCAAAGAGGAACCCCAGAACTTAACAGAAGTTCAAACTAAATGTATAATAATAATACATTAATGCTAGCCTGGCCTTAGCCATGTGTAAACTCTGGTCCAGGATAATTTCCTACTTGTACGTTTGGGTCTTTCCATGTGTAAACTCTGGTCCATGATAGGGCTGCACAATATATCAAAAAAATATCGTTATTGCGATATTGGTGCGTGCGATATGCATATAGAAAATATCCAAAATAAAATAATAAAAAAACATTCAACAAGAGCAACAAACAAACAAAAAAATATATAGATTGTGCGGGCGAACTGCCTTGTAGTCCCACTCTCCCTCCTCACCGGAGGGAAATGGCGGGTGTAACTGTTAACCTGCGCAATCCGCACCCATCCGGTGTGTTTAAAAGGACGGACACAAACACTTCAGCATAAGTTCGAGCAGGACAAGCAGCGATCGCAGCACACTATCAGTGCATGTAAAGACAAGTACTGTACAAGACAAACCCTTCTATAACCCCATGAAAGAACCCGGTAAGCGCCGTCATCATTCACGATCATTGACTGAGAACTTATGCATGATGCGTTCGAGAGCCCTCTGAAGTAGCGGAAACGTGGACTCTATAACCTTTATTTTGTTCTGATTGTTTATAAACATTGTACCGAGTTTAGGATGTATCCAAAACATAACTCCAGGAACAAATCATAATTCACTACTAATCAATGATATTCGCCCTATGTTAAGTTAAAAACTGAATTAAAACCTTATGTGTTAAAAAATGCAGTTAGCAATCATGTTCCTAAGTTCATTACTTAATGTTAAAATTATTTACTTTAAGTTGTGCTAAAACCAGATCGATTGATTAGTGAACCTATGGTCTGATTCATAGTATATCTTTGATAAAAGCTAAGCAAATATTGTAATAAGTTTCAAATGTAGTTAAAAAAGTTTGTAATAAAAAAATTATGAATGTTTTAAACCTCTTTTGTAACTGATTTGGCTAAATGTCAGTTGTTAAAGGTATAAAGGAGGATTTTCCCAAATTTTAGGAAAGAACTGCCCTCTCCTCTTTTTGAACAAAACTCTTTGGTCTTATTTGACGAGCACTATCACCAGAATGATTGACAATTGGGAGGACCAATAATCTTGATGATCCACCCGGACGTAGAATATCCTCCTAAATACCTTTAATACAATAAAACTATATAATACTATTCCATATAATAAACTATACTATAAAATGCAAAACTGTTCAGAAAAAAGGTCTTCAACAAACAGTTTACTGACATGAGCAGGTTAAATATAGATTTATAGATTTGTTTTTTATTTAATACACAATACAATACAATTTATTCTTGTATAGCCCTAGGTCACAACAGAAGTCATCTCAGAGGACTTAACAAAACCATTGAAATCACCAACACAGATCAGAGAATCAACAGTTAACACATGGAGAATATAAAGCACACACAGAAGAAAATGTCCATACATGTTGTAGAATGCTAAAGTGTCCTGATCATCACCAATCCTTTCTGTTGGACACTAACTGTCCAACACGACCCTCCTGCATCGACAAGGAAAAACTCTTAAAAAACCCAGTGGGAAAAAGTGAGAAACCTTGGGGAGAACTAGGGGAAACCCACAGGGAGGGAGACCCATTTGAGAAAGGGATCCGCTCCTCCGGACGGACAGGCTAAAGATCTAGGACAGGGGTGGCCAACCCGCGGCTCGTGAGCCGCATGCGGCTCTTTGGCTGGTTCCGTGCGGCTCTCGGGCTTTCACTCGACAAGCGTCAAAAACGCCTCGTTGGTGGCGCTGCCTTTCATTCCATATGTAGTTCTGACCAATAGTAAAGGCCGACTTCACTCCACTAGCCAGGCCACCAAAATAATCTGACGTCGGCGAACGTCAATTCTGGTTGGTCAGATGCGCTGTCAATCACTCTGCAGCTGCTACCTCAGCTGTAGCAAATATCATAACAAACAACACGTTGCCTCGAACCATGACGTCCGTACGGAAAACAATTCCTTGGTCGCTGGATGAGGGCAACACCTTCCTCAGTTTGAGGAGAGGACACCAGCCTGATCTCGCTGGTTCCACCAGAAACCAGAAGGTGTTTGTGGAGCTAGCACTAAGGACGGAGCAGAATGATTCCCACAAACATGACAATGCAGAGAAAAGTTAAAAAGCTTAAAAGTGACAACCGTGAAATGAAAGATCGCAGCAGCAGAAGTAGAGGCAGACCCGAAAAGTCTGGAGGTGGTTTGACCAAATGGATTACATTTACGGACATCGGCTAACACCGGCTAACATGCTAAAACCAGCTAACAACAACTAGCATTACACCAGGAGATAAGCCAACTCTGCCTGGTGAGTGTCTGTCTTCAATCAAATGCGAAACTATCTGGTCTTATACTGAGCATGTGTCTGTGGTTCTAAATCAGCTAAAGTGGTGTTGGTGTTATGTGTCAAATCTATATCTTTTACTAAAGACAGTTGTGTTTCTGCTGAACACTGGGTTGAAACTTGATTTTTTTTTCTTGGTTAGAGATTGAAAGCATTCATTTCGGAATCATAATTGATGTTCGCTGACGTGAAATTGTTCTGGTATCGACTCGCCCGGTTAGAACCAGGGCCAAACCATAAATAAAAAGTACCGGGGAGCGGTTGAAGCGAGCGGTAGAAGTGCCCGCAAACCGGGGAGAGTCGAGTCCAGCCCTTTAGTGCTGTACGAGTCAATTTCTGTCATTATCATGTTGATGACATTTACAATAAATCTGTCTGAGCAGAGCACACCTCTCTCTGCTCAGACAGATTGCATGTGTGTGCGCGTGTCTGCTCGTGTGCGTACAGTACGTGCGCGTGTGCGTGCGTGTGTAAGGGTTGGGGTGATGTTTATGTAGTGCACATTTGTATGATGTGGCTCTTTGCTGTAACACAGTAAAAAAAATTGGCTCTTAGTCTCTGACTGGTTGGCCACCCCTGATCTAGGACCTAAGCTAGCTACAGAACGTGGACCAGTGGCCGCTGAACGTGGACAGGTCCGGTGCAGGACCGAAGCACTCCCAGGCGGGTCGGGCGGGGCAGTCCGCAGGCGTAGGGGGAGGAGGCCAGGCTCAGAGATCCCGTCATCGTACCATGAAACAGACAATGGGACAACGGGTGAATAGCAATGAACAAACTAACAGTACACAGTTGATTTCCTAGCAGAAGCATTATTTGTTTAAGAGTAGCGATTAAAAGAGTTTTTTTTAAACAGAAAATGATTGTAAGTTTTAGGGATGTAAATCGGTGACCGGTTAACCGGTGGTTGACCGTCACAGCGTTAACCGGTCAAAGCTGTCGGTTAAAAATAAGAAAAAGCGGAGAGGGGAGGTCTCTTAATAAGGCTATTTTAAGCCCTATTTGTAAGATGTGACGAGCGGGTCCGTATCTAGCTGTGTGCGCCAATGCATTAGTAGACTACGGGCGACTTTCATGGCGCACGCTCCACATATGCACGCAGCCACGCACACGCACACGCACGCGCGCACACACACACACACACACACACACATACACACTTTCCCCCTCTCCATACGTAACATCCACACGCATCATCTCTCCCCTCTGTTACCGCCAAAGTTCCACACTAGTGCAGGTCAGAACTACATTGGAGCTTATATTTACACACACACACACACACATTTACATGTATTGTACACACACACAGACATATACACACATACATACATCAGCCGCGGCGCCAGGGATAGGCCCGGGTAGGCCGGTGCCTACCAGTTTTTTTCTTGGCCTACTCAAATTTGTTCTTCGCCTCTCAAGTCATTAGCCTTTTTATTAAAAGTCATAATTTTAATATTGTTATTTTTATACACACATTATTGCCTAAATGTTGCGTTCTAATGTTTTAAGAAAATGTAACCCCCTGAGCGTTCACGTTGCTTCAAATAGTCCTGTTTATTGGCTGAACAATTTTGTCCAATAATCTGCATGATCATATCACACAGCGCAAAGCTCGTTCCCGAGAACAAGCAGCTATTCCTCGTCTTAAAGATTGACAACGCTCTCAAAACATTCACAACAGAGCAGCCTTTTTAGTCATTTTAGTTTTAAGAAAGTTCAGCGTGAACTTCGTGAGGTAGAGGAGCCAGAGGCCCGGGCCCGTAGGTCCCAGAGGAGGAGAGGCCTGTGTGAGACACACCGGGCCTCATGTATGAAACTTGCTGTGTTTTCATTGAGCATCATGTTTCAAAAGTTGAATTTGCGCATCGGAAAAAGTCTAATGGAAAAATGCAAACTTCGAATAAATCACAGCTCATGATCAGGACCCTCTATTAAATCTGACTTGTGTGTGTATTATTTTGATCTGTATATATTTTTTAAATGTGAAGCGGTTTGTGATCCTGAACTGTGAAAGGCTCTATATACAGTAAATACACTTTACGCAACAGGGATGTGTGACCCAGCTATTGCTGTGACAGGCTCTGCACTGCGTAATTACGCACGGCTATTTGTATTCCTCACATCTGGTAAAGCAATGTGTTATTTCATTAGATTTGTGTTAGCCTCACACAGACACACACCCCAATAACGCACCGATGGTATTGCTCACTCCAAATGTCTCACTGCCCTGTCCAGAGTGCGCAGCGAGTGCCGTGAGATATCGCGCCACATAACTCCTCAAATGTGCAGAAGTTTTGGCTTCAGTTTCTTTGTGAAATCTGGACCGCAAACACTCTCTGAAGTGTACAGTGCTTCAATGCGCACTTCTACCCCGAGCCAGGCTGCGTCCAAGACACTGCAGACGCTTCATTCATGAGAGCCACTGCTGCATAATAAATATGAATTCATTCATTCAATCAATCTATATTTATTCACTTCTACAATTCAAGAGAGATTTTTCTAATGTATCAAAACTATTTTTGCAAATTTGTGCAAAACGCAGCTGAATATATAGCGTATATTTATTTTTACATAAACATAACAAACAAACGTGCCTTTTGAGGCTTCCAACAGTCTTTTTGGACTTTCGTGCTGACCTGTCGCGAACATTGCTGCATAATTCTAGGCGTGACTTTCATAAATACGTTCGTATTCAGCCGATTTATCAACACCCGCAGCTGCGTATACGCTCAGATCTGGGCTGATCTCACACATTCATAAATCCGACGTTGGATTTTGCGTCAATGGAATATACACCCCAAATGTACACATTTTTCTACGCAAGTTTCATAAATGAGCTTGTGTGTATGTGTGTGCTTGGGTGCGTGTGTGTGCGTGCGTGCGTTTGAACCATATTCTTTGAAACCCCAATTCCAGCTACCCCTTGTAGTTTGCGTGCGAATTTGGCCTACTTACTAATCTGCAGGCCTACCCAAAATTGCAAACCTGGCGCCGCTACTGACATACATGTATTGTACACACACACATACCGGTCTGTCTCGCAGCCCAAAGAATCCTCGCAAATACGCGGCCCCAGTCAAACACATGAAACATGTTTGTGCTGCTGGTCCTTGTCATTAGATCAGCTCCAGTGCTCCACACACATCACTTTTAAACTTTAGCGGAGACCTGCGAGACGCGGCGTGTAACTCACTGCTCTGACCATGTGAACAAGCCGTCTTTTGCTTAAAAATGCTTTAACCCGCAGCACAGTATGGGAAGATTAAAAAAGCAGTTCTCTGTGCGCAAAGGTGCCGAAGCTGTTGCGGGTTTGGGCGCCGCTGTCTCAGCTCTGATCCAGTAGAACGCAGAGCTGCACTTACGAAAAGTACGCGGCTCGAAATGGCTGTTATTTCAAAGAACGTGGACTATTTTAAACTACGCGGTTAACCGGTTTCAACCGGTTAATGAGGCTCGGTGGTCGGTCATGAAAATGCATAGTTTTTTACATCCCTAGTTGTAAAAACCTAGTTCTATTTTTGAGTTAACAAAAATATTGCAATAATATTGTTATCGCAATCCTAAACACTCATATCGAAATATCGAACTAATTTCCATTATCGTGCAGCCCTAGTCCATGATCATTTCCTACATGTACGTCTGGGTCCCCTCCGACCAATCAGTGAGCGGGGGAGGCTTGTGTTGTAGGTTGGTGTCGGTGACGTCAAGAGTTTGTGCTGAATTTGTTGGTTGTAGTTTGTCGGAGAATGCGACAGTAAAATAATCTGTTCTGGTTCAATCCAAATATCAAGAAACTGAAGCTGGAGCAAGAGGAATGTTTGGTAAATGTCATTGAAGCAAAGATGTTGTGGTTCTTCTCCCCGCGGCCTAAAACTGTTAGTAAAATTATTAGCTGTTGGTTAAAATATATTTTTTTTTTAGGTACGGCTCAGAGCCATACGTCTGCATTGAGAAATAAAAGATTGTTTGGACAGAAAAGTATTAAACATTTATATCCCAAAACAAACTTACGGATGTCACTGTTTTCCACCGTCCTCCTACTACTTCTCCTACTTTCTCTTGAAGCTTCCAAACTTCTGTCTTCAAATCTTGGTGGGACTGAGTCATTGTTCCCAGTTCCACTTGTGTACAGTGGGTTAATCACAAGCTGCTAAACTGAGCTTTCCTTTTAAACACGTTCTCTTCTCGAAGTGCAGCCACTTGTGAAATTAACAACTGCACGCCCATCAAAGTCAGAAAGCCCTGGACGGCCCCAGTGCCTTCTAAAAGCTCAATGTGTCAAACATCACTGTCACCTCCCTCTGCCGTCGTCCTCCATCTTCTTCTTTTGTTTCCATGGCGCTGCTCACACACGGCGGATGTTCTGTCAGATCAAAGCTGTGTGAGCGAGGAGCGGGGCTGACGACACACACTGAGGGAGACTTTCTCAAATCTACTGGTGACGGGAAGCTGGATTTGTGAAATGAACACATCAGCTGTCGTTATTTAAGAAAGATAATCATTTTGTTAATTCACGCGAAATACACAATTGTTATAAGGTTTGAGAATCACAAGTACAACTGCTGTAACTTCTGGAAGGCAGTGTGCAAAAAAACCCTGAAACATTGTATTGTAACTTTACATCAAACATAAATAAATAAATAAAAGACCATTAAGGGAAATGTTTTTCGAACCCGGATCGCTGAATAGAAAGTATCCTTGACTCAAACATGCGCAAGTCCAGGACAGCCACTACGAAAGCAAAACATTTACTATTTGACAAAGCTCGGGAACTCTTTAAGCCCTCTGCGAAAACTGAACTCTGACTGGGCTGGTTTAAACACGAACTGAAGCGATTTCTTAAAACAAACCAGTTGTGTGAGCATCAATGAGTTGGAGAACACCTGCGTTTGTATAATGTCAATATTATAATGTGAAATGTGCTTTTAATTGTGTTTAAAAACTCTCCTAGGGACGGACTTAGCAAATCAGCCTTGGCCATAAATGTTGTAGTGTTTCACTTGTTGATTGTGTTACACTTGTCCCAATCAAATAAATCAATAGATAAATAAATAAAATAATCTGCACTCACACAAAACGAAACTCTGAATGTTAATGCAATTTGGTTTCTGTACTGAAGGACAGAGCAGCCGTTATTAAAATGATTATGTAAAACACATGCCCGGTGACTTTTCATGACAAACACCACTATTGTTTTCTTCTTATTTTTTTTTTTTCTCCTGATCTTGAAATTTTGTTTGGTTTTTATTTTGAAAGGGTTAATTAATTGGATTTGGCAAAAATAAGTTATACTTCAGCATAAACCCTTCGGTCACAATTGCGTTTGTAAATCTATGTTAAAGCATGTACTAGTGACATAAGATGCATTGTTTTTGTAACCCTGTCCTTTTTTTAATGCCTTTTTTATGTCAAAAAATAATAATCATTTGTATGACCGAATAAACAAACCTACTACTACTACCTCTAGTATCCACAGACTGCTCTTGGACCTTGGTGTTGATCCAATATAAAAACCAAGCATGTTGCCCCTTTACAGTTTTGACCTGAAACTCTTTAGCACCACATGTAGTTGTCTCTTTTAAATTATTACTCAAATAATTGGCAACTCCATGTTGAGCAGACGACATAAAATCATCCTTTTTCACTATGATCATGAACAAGTAGAGAAATAAATCCCATTTCTCTATTTCAAAGGCAGACTCCGCTGTAGATGAATCTCTTGCTCAGTTGGATTACAACATCTCACATTCATTAGCCTCACGTTGTTTGATTTGTGTCCGTCGCTCGCACACACTCACAGACATGTCGCTGCCATGGCAACAGTGGCCTCGGGACGGCGGCGGGAGGAGACTCTGATTTGTCTGATGCTGTGCTCCTCCAAAGAGAAGCAGACATAAACCAAACAAATGCATTCATTATTCAGACGGTGCTGTGGTGCTCATAATTTGGTCATTCTGCAATGTTCACAAAACATAATCGTGGTGGAAGTTTGAGTAAAACCTTGACTTCAATAACTTTCAAACAGACTCGTGCTCTTGTTATATACTTCACAATTATTCTGTTGAATGTTTACGTTGTATGTAAATTTTGTTTGCAAAAGTTTCTAGTCATTACCTCTTGGCTTCGGATTGTTTGTTTGGATAATTAGATGTCAATGATGTACCTGCTTAGATACATGTTGAATAAATAAGAGCACGGTTAAGTATTTTATTAAAAACATATTCAAGCCAAATATTTGTGCTAAAGGTACTCTGAGCCGACAAACCACATGTTGTCACTGTCCACCACCAGATGGCAGTGTTGCACCGCGAGCCCTGGGACTGAGTACCATTTGGTAATGGATTGAAATGTGGGCAAGTCTCACTGAAGTAAACTATTCATGTAGCAATAAAAGTATATGTGATAAATGGATAAAGCTGGTGTAATTTATTAAACCTTATTTGTTACAATGTCCCCAGGCCTGGTCTTAACACGTGTGAAGCAGTTTTTGTCGAATTGTTTAAATCCCGGTCAGATGGAATAATTAGTGTATGTTGTTCCAGGTACACCATTCCTCCTGAACATGGAAAGAGGCTGGAGAGACTGGCCCAAGGTGAGAATACACCACAGCACTTAACTAGACTATACATGGGGTTTCAATTTAATGTTATGTATTTTTGTCTAAAGTAGGCTTAGTAATTGACTGATCTGTTTTAACATTCATGGGTTTGGGTCGACTCCCCATGGACCAATACCTTCCTGGGAAAAAAGTGCTCACGCTTGTAGACACGCCCTGGTCTAGATACAGTTAAAACCCATTACAAATAAGACTGAGCAGAAAGAATGGCTCCAAAGGCTTGCCATGACTGCTCTCCAAGCTTTCAATATATCTTCTGGTGGACACGCTCCTCTCTTTGCCGCTGTCCTGCCGTTCACATAAAAAAACATACACCATCTCCTTTTCATTGCTGTTTTCCTCCCATCCTATCCATGTCCTGATCAATGGGGATTATCCTGTGTAGTGCACAAGGCTCAGAGCGAGAAGGAAGCGGCCGAAAGTATGAGGGAGAGAGGGAGCCGCCAAACCACATTCAATACACCAGCATTTGTCCTTGTTGTTGTGGAGCGCTGAGAACAAATCAATAATCAGCAGCACAGAGCTCGGGTTTCGCACACTCGTCCTGTTGTACCTGAGTGCTGGGCAAATGTCAAGCGCAATGTGTGGCATATGACGGATGAGCAGAGAAATGCCACTGCCGTTTTACCGGCCGTGCACCGTGAGGAGAAGCAAGGGCCTTTGTGACCATCGATAATCATGCTTTGGTTTTTGAGACGGAAATGTAAATTCTACAGAAGTGTGTGGTGTCAACGCTTTGTGATTTTGGGAAATTTGCGAATCACAATCACTGCTTATTACTAGGAACCCTTTTTTTGGATCATCTGTTCCAAAATGCATATATTCTTGTTGTTTTATACCGTTGTGAGACAAGTTAGTCTTACCCTACTGATGTGTTGTTGAAATAGTAATTGATTAACTAAGAATAATGCATCCATTATTCTTAGCTATGGATCCTGTGCTTTTAAAGTCTAAATAAATAAAACCTAAAAAAAATACAGCATTCATAATTTAATGAATGCCTGTACAATTGTTGGGAAGGCTATGGAAATTGAACAAAATTCCAAAAATTTTAAACATGCAATTATACCTGAAAGTCTACACCCATTTGAAAATTGTTTAAAAATATTTTTTGTTTGGTTGTGTGAAACTATTTATTATTTATTCCATGTTCTTGTTACAAAGACGACACGGAATACAAATTTATTACATCCTCAACCCAAGATGTTAATGTTATTATTTGAAAATGTATTCATCCCACAGGGGGGAAATGTCAGTGTTGCATCGCCCGTTATAGAACAGTCAAAGAAATTAACAATAGCTAAACTAATTAAAATAAAATAAAAATCTCTAACCCTAGCATTAAAGAAGCACATATAAAACCTCTACCTTTATCAACATTACATAATAATAATAATAATAATGGGACTCTACTACTATGACATTTTTTCCATGTGTTTTCATTCAAGCACAATTATGTGTTTTTTATCTTATCTAATGTTAGTCAGAACCTCAGCAATTTGATATTTTGCCAAAATCTTGCAGCCAAGTCGAGTTAGGGTGCATCCATCTTTGCAGCAGATATTTGAAAATCACCACAGACCCTTCTCATGTCCTCTACTCTCAATATGAGCTCCTCCCATCAGGCTGCCTCCACAGAGTACCAACTAGAAATAAGAAACTATATCTAAACCGGTATAAGAACTCATTCCTACCCATATCTGTGAACCTCCTGAATGCAGGCCATCGAGCAGAGCGGTGATGGTTTATGTCGGTATTACTTTGTTGTTTTTATGTCTGTCTTATGTGTATTTTCAATGTAGCCGTCTGTGAGTCCAAGACAAATTTCCTATGGGACATAATAAATTAATCTTGAATCTTGAATTGTGCATGTGATCCGCGTAATGCTGCACTGACTGGAGTTGAACACGATCCTCCAGTAGATGTTGCACTTGTCCTTTCAGTCTGTCTTCTCGAAGCAGCTGGCAGTGGGAGGAAATCCATGCCAGCGTCTTTTAACAAGCACCCGCTGACCTATGAAAGCCATCGTCAGCACCAGAAGCCAACTGTTTATGAGCTCCTAAAAGACCGTTCTGAGTGTAACCGAATGCCCAGCACGCTCCATCCATAGTTTTAAAACTTCAAAAACATGATAAAGAGAAATGTGTTTTCTCTCCTTGTCTTTTTATTCCCACTTCTGTCCTCAGACCTGGACACAATGTTTAAAATAAGGGTTTGTGGTTGAGGCGTGAACTAGGGCTGCACGATACATCAAAAAAATATTGTTAAAATATTGTTATTGTAATTTTTTTTAAGTTTTTTTCCTTTTTTAACTCATTGACTGCCATGCACGTGTTTGGCTGAGACTGGTGATTTCTGTCAAACTTCTTTCTATTCGACTGAAGATTACAGCAGAACAAAACTAGCTAGATACCAACATATTTTTGCTGATGAAAGTAGACGAATTGGACCATATGGCCTAAAATTCATATTGCAGTATAATTTGGGACACAGACGGTATATATTGCGGTATAATTTGGTGTGTGAATTTCAATATAGATCTAGCAGGTTCTTGCATGAAATAGCCAAGATTGTTACATATGTAAAATGTCTATTTTACAGCTGGATAATGTTTATTCATTTGATACTTTTAGCATTTCCTTGACATTCAGTGTGTGACCTAGAGAGAACGCCATAAAACCACCCATTTGTAAGTTCCATTGTTGCAATAAACAATTGTGATAATTTATCCCGTTATCATACATACATGCATGCATAGTCAAGTCTTGTTGAACACTTATTTGTTTATTAGTTAAACAAGTAAAGGACAGTGATTCTAATTAATAATTAAACTGTCAGTGTTTGCCTCATTTTCGTGTGCCTTTGAACACATCAGGGCGCTAGCTGCGCTGCTACTTAGTATTTTTTTCTCTGAGCTTTTTTTCCGCCATTTCTCGTAATAAACCTTGATACAAATGAGCACAAATCAATAATATAATCTGATTTGTATTTTATTATTGTCATGACTTTTATCTTTAGGGAGAGTATGTACACCTGTCCAGGGACTGCAGATGCTTATTTACACTTTTTGACATGCGCAAACTGAACAAATCCGGTTTTCGGGACGAATCCAGCAGCCACATTCCTCGTGGTTGTTGGCGGTCCCAGCAGGCCGAGCGTGTTGCTGATGACATAATGACCTAATGACCTATCGCAATATGTAACAATAATATATATCGTTGGCCAATTTTTCATTGCATACCGCTTATACCGTTTATATCGCCCAGCCCTAGGTGCAATCTGTCAGAATCTGATTTCATATTATTCATAGTCACAGCACACAATATTCTGTGGGTCTTGAAAGTCAGGGAAATCATCAAAAACGGCTGGAAGTCAGTGTGTTAAAGACAACAAAACAGACACGCATCAACATTCAACAAGAACAACAAACAAACAAAAGTATAAAAATATATGCATTTGAGTATCAATCATGTTGTGCTTATTTTTTGTTATTTGTCTCTTGCGTTTTAATGCAGATTGCAATTTTAGGTGAAAGACAAAAATATCGCAATAATATTGTAATCAAAATACTAAACACTCATTACGAATATCGCTCTAGTTTCCAATATTGTGCAGCCTTAGTGTGAACTTAATTTCCCCGACTCAAAAAGGACAGAATGGAGCCTTTAAGTTAATACTACCCTGTGGAGCGCTCCCAGAGCCAGATGCATTTTAATAGGGATTAATACCAAGACTGTGCCGGCACATTATTCACCTTTATCAGCTCCAACAAGCAGGCAGGCGATGGGAGAATAGCACCCTGTCCCTTTCTGGCTTTGTAGCCCGGAACAGAGGCCGAAACCATCCAGTGAAAAATGAAGGATGAATGACTACGATTATACTGTCAGTCACATTAAAGTTTAACTGGGCGGGGGCTTGGACGGCCCCCCTTTGAGACCCCGGCGGGCGTGCTCAACGAGGGCCGAGAGTGACGAGTGATGGAGGAGAAATTCATGCTTTTGATTATGCAAAAGTCGTTGGAAGCTTTTGTTTTCACAGAGAAAGTGGAGTCTTTGAAACTCAAAAATGTCACAAGGCGTTTTGCTCTGAAGACTAACTGTTTTAGAAAGGTCAGGTGCAAAGCTGATTTAAATTTTTTATGACAAAAAGTACAAGAATAAAGGTGAAAAGTGAGGTTTGATGACTTTGTGTCAAAAGTACAGTATTTAAATGTGTGTTTGTTGCAGGATTTTTCCCAGGCAGCTCTCAAGGCTGCGATGCTTTTCTTCGCCACAAGATGACGCTAATTTCACCGTCCATCCTGAAGAAATACAGCATCCCCTTTGACAGGGTGAGCCTTTTGCTGTGTGTGTGTCTGTGGGTCTGTGTGTGTGTCTGTGTGTATGTCTGTGTCTTTGTGTTTGTCTCTCTTGTGTGTATCTATCTTGTGTGTGTCTCTTGTGTCTCTCTTGCGTGTATCTATCTTGTGTGTGTCTCTTGTGTGGCTGGTCTATTTCCAGCAGAAGTTAAACCTCCATCCAATGTAAAAACTCAATACAGAAACATTGTTTTGTTTCCTTTTGAGTTTTAACATATTTATAAACTCACTGTTTTATATTCGTGCTGCTTTAATTTTCCTTCCTGCTGCTGTCAGACTGTACGATGAGAACTGCCTGTACTTGTCATTCATCTGTAAATAAGTAAATACTGCAAACATGTGGAATGTCACTACTTGTATATACTTATACATATATATTTTGAAAGATTGATAATGAAACGTACAGTATTTTGTATATTATGTGCTCCCTGTGTCTCTTACTACTGTCCTGTTGATCCCCTCTTGTCTTCATTAGAATTTACCAATCACTAATCTTTATTCTCTCTACAGATTACTCAAAATGAGGGAGAGTTCATGGTCACGTTCCCCTATGGGTATCACGCTGGATTCAACCACGGTTTCAATTGTGCAGAGTCCACAAACTTTGCCACTCTGCGGTGGGTGGATTACGGCAAGATGGCTACACAGGTAATGCACCAAATATGTGCCTTGTCAAGCCTTTTGGTTTTGTTCTAGCCACAAATAATGGATCGAGGAAGTGGTTATTGTTGTTCAATTTCAATACATTTATTTCGTGACCTGCACAATACTCATTTTTACATTTAAGTCTTCTCCAAACCATTTTACTGCCACTCTAACCATAACCTTCCATCTCCACTGTATGGCCACAAACGGCTGAGAGCTGCTAAGCATGAAATTGACAGGGCATGTGTGGAAATGGAAGGCAGCGCTACCACAATGTCCCCTCAAAGTTCCTTTTCTCTTTTACAATTTCCATTTCTCTTTTCTCATTCTTGCCGTTTGAGGGTGAACATGTGTGCGTCTGTCCTCTGCCTCTCTACTTGTCTGAATGCCAGATTTATGAAGGTGCCAGAGCGTCACTTTCCCCTCTTTTTCTAATTCTCTGCCTTTTCCACTTTGCCCATGCGGCCACTTGTAATTTAAGAACCAGCGGCCCTTCCATCCAAGCCCAGTGCTCAGGGGACCATCTCCTGCACTTGTCTCAGCCTGATAGAGAAGAGGAGTCAACTCTGCACCACTAATCCACGTCCACAAAGTGACACAGCTGCCACACACTCTGACTTGGGGAATAAGAGAACAACTTGTCTTTTCTGACCACATTCTACTTTGGTTTTTTGCCTTTCAAATGCCGGCTTAACAATCTAGCCTGTCTTGTATTTGTTAACTGTATAAGTTTAAAGATTATTGTACAAGGAGTGAAACTTTTAAAATAATTTTGAGAAACTTAGACTTCAGTATAGTGTGTACTACCTGCTTAGCCTCATGTACATTGTTGTGTTTCCATAAGAACATGTCTGGGCTTTTTCAACCCTTACCCAGTATGATTTTGTGTCTATTTAAGACATTTATCTTAACCTGGTTGTTGTACTTTGAAAATGCACTGACTCTAATGATATAGCACTTAATAATGCTCTATCTCTGTATAAAATGAGCTGATCACATGGTGATCGCTTCAGTCAGCAGGGTTCATTGAAACCAAATTATATAATCGTCATTATTATCTGCAACTTGCTTTGGGTCGTTTTACAGCTTTCCTCTGCCCTTTTTCCTCCACGATGTCTGGTTGGTTCACCATTATCATTTGGTCAGTGCCACAGAATTCATCGCTCCACTACTTTTGGAGGTCTTCCCCATCTTATCTTTAGGGTTTCCAGCCCATACTCTGCACAGATGTTTCTGTACACTATGCAGCCGCTTGGTTATGGCGTTCCATGCAGGCTTTCCCTGCCAGAATCTCGCACCCTGCAGTTATATGTTGGATTGTCTCAGGTGCCTATTTGCACAACCGACACCTTGGGTCTTGTCTGTTATGGTATATTTGGGCCTGTATCGCTCTGGTGCTCAGGGTTTGCTCCTTTTGGCCAACCCTTTCTTGCCATTGCTAGGACCTTCTTGAGATCAGTCTCTGTTGAGACATTCACTGAGCAGGTCATCCATTGGGTCCTTCTTGGGGATTTTGTGGAGTTTGGATGTTTGGTTCTAGATAGTAGGTCTCTAGCCCTCAGCCTCATACTTTATGGCTTCTGGGGGAGGTTGGATTTGGAACATGAACCCTAGGGCTTTCAAGTCTTAACATCTGTGGTCTGTATCTCTTCCTTTGGCCACCTTATAATTCCCTGAGAGTATCTGATCACTAGCAGGGCGCAGCTGTTTATGGCCCAACCCTTGTTCTTGCCATTGAGTCGGCTTGCCTCTCTCACTGGAGTTGTCCCACTTTATTTCCTTTTGCTTGCAAGATTTCAAGGTACTTGTAACTACCCTCAATGTGTATTATTGTTCCTGGTGGAAGTGAGACCCTTTCCATGTGGACTTCTTGCCCCTTCGCGTCAACCTACCACTGACATTTCTTGAGCCGGAATGACATCCCAATGTTGTTGCTGATCCTGGTTTTATGGATCAAGTGGTCTATGTCCTACTCTTAGCGTACAGCTTGAGGGTCATCCATGAAGAGGAAGTAACTGATGCGGTATCCATCCATAGTGAGTCTTATCTGGCTAAAAGGGTTCAGACCTAATGCAGAATAGCAGTGGGGATAGAGTATCTTTTGGTAGATGCCATTTTATATATCCATCCATCCATTTTCTACCCTTTAATCCAGTCAGGGGGGTGGCAGTCAGAGATGCCACCCAAGTCTCATAGCACCAGCCCCTCACTGACCCTCTGCAGGTGGTGAGTCCACAGGAGGACGGCTGCTCTCTGAGTGTGAGCATAGCCTTGATCTTTCAGTGGGGGCTTTGGGCAAAGTGGGGTTAAGTGTCTTGCCCAAGGACACAACGACAGCAGTCATCAGTGGGAGTCGGTGGAGAAGGTGCAGAGGTGGGAATATATACATTTTATATATATATGTGTGTATTATTAATATACAACAATATGATTATTATCTTAGGAACCATTGCCTCCCATTGTGGTTGCCCTTCTTGCCTCCCTCCTTCTGCAGAGGCCTGTTCTGTCAGCACCAAACAGGACAGTGAACGATGAGGCCAGCGATCGAATTTGTCACCGTTCGGAGGCTGCCAGTGCACAGCCTACGTCTCAGTCTTCTGAAATACAAGCCCCTTAACTGCTGCCCCATCTGTCTGACTTACTAAGCGAATTCACACCTGCGGTCATGGCAGGAATACTGAAATACAATGTGTTTTGTCCTTCGGTGTCCATGTGTCCTAAAAAACCCTACAAACTACATGAACTATTTATGAATTTATTGAGCCTTTGTGCACCTGCGGCTAATCTACCCTTTTTTGTCTGTTAAAATAGTTCACATTGTTAGTACTTATGTTTTTGCTTTACCTGCTATGTTTCTCAAATATATCCTGCACTGTGCTGGGTTGGACGTAGCATTTCTGTGTGGAGTTTTACTCTTTTCTGCTCTGGATTCCTCCGGGTGCTCCGGTTTCCCCCTACCACTAAAAAGTGTGTATGTATGAGCACGTAAGGGCGAGACTGGGGGACAAGGCTCAAGGCTATAATCCGATGTTGTTTACCGCATCTGCTGTTTATGAATACACTCAAATAGAATGCATTTGTTTAAAGTCCATTGTTTCAAAATTCCATGAAAAACATGTTTTGTGAACAGCTCAATTTCTCCAGATAAGCCAGATGCACACAACAAAAGACTCTTTTTAAACCTATTAAGGAAATGTGTGAGTCGGTCTCTTTTGGCCCTTAATAAGGATTAATAAATAAGGGTTACGCAGGTCCGACCCTGTTTCGTTATACGCGCATTCAGTGAATGTACTGATCCATAGCACATCCCCGGGCCGGAGGTTATGGGTTCATTAGCACCCAACGTATTCTTCAGGGCTCATTGACCGTTAGCCTCAGGGTGAGCTTTTGTTTTGCTGGGTTTTGTATTTTGCAAGTCTGTTTCTCTTTTCTAATTAAGTATTTATGGGGTAATAAAGTGGTGGCAGCCGAGGCCCTTGGGGCTAACAAGAACAACCATCCATAACACTGAATCAAAGAGTAAAATAAGCGCGTGCTAATGCAAATTACACATACAATTACTGTACAAGTAACATTTATTTGTCATGTTTTTGTTGCTGATACCAATAACACTGAAGGCATGTCCCCTCTGCCCTCCCTTCCACCTCCCTCCAACCAACACCATATTGTAATGTTTCCGTCTGTCAAGTGGTGTCTGGATGAGATGTAGGCTGGATATTGTTTTTCTTGGGGCCGGCAAGCTGCTGTGTTTCCAGTAATTGAACATAGGCTCTCAGCACAACTCGAGAAAATAATATAGACAGAAAGTAATACAACCAGAAAGGCAGAAAAAACAGTCAATTCATCTTTTTTTCCTCAAGCCTCTTTTTAATTTCCTCCTTTTCCCTATAGAATGTAGACTTGGATTTGTGAATATGCATAAATGGATGGTTTACTGTACCACATGTTTGCAGCAGAAAAGAGGATTTTGCCGTTTTTTGTGTTTCACATGAAATCAAAATGTCCTCTGTTCTTTTTTTTCCTTTAGTGTTCCTGCCGAAAGGACATGGTCAAGATTTCCATGGATGTGTTTGTGCGCTGCCTGCAGCCTGATCGCTATGAGCTGTGGAAACAGGGCAGAGACACCACTGTAGTGGACCACCTGAAGCCCACGGAGCTGGACAGTCCTGAACTGGATGAATGGAGGAAAAGCCGTGTGGCGTACAAGGCTATTGCTCTTCGCAAGTAAGAGATCTAACCGTCCCAGCTCTGACACACACTGAACACTGTATAAAAGTGTGTGTTGTGCTTTTAGGGCATTGCAGAAGATGAAGCAGTTCAGACGGCTCAAGCTTGAGGAGGTGAAGCTTTTGGCAGAAGAAGGAATAGAGATGGACTCTGCGACTTACATGAAACAAGTGGAAGAGCGCGAGGCCCAGCGCAGACAGGAGCGTGAAGAGCGGCTCACCAGAGAGGCCATGCTGACCCTGGAGGCCATCGAGCTGAAGGAGCAGGCTGCAGCCAGAGCAGCAGAGGCCATTCACGGTGAGTCATTTAACACTCATTTACAGTGAGTAAATATAAACTCAACATCCTGTGTTTTCTACTTTTTTAGAAGTTGAGTTAAAGAATGAAATGAAGCAGCAGCGGAAAATGGCACATCTCCAAAGCGCTATCACTGGGTTTGAGGAAGAGTTTCAGGCATTTGCTAAATCTGGCTTTACAGGCCTCGACCTGAGAGACGAAATTGAGGACGTAAATAATCCTCCGGTAAAAATGCTTTCTTTACAGTTTTTTACTAATAATCGTTCTAAACTCATCATTATCTTTGCTTTTCACAGTCAAGTTTTCCCAACATCCAAATGCCAACGGAGGTGAAGAAAAGCCGACGCCACCCACTGAGCAAGCCCCCGATGCGGTCGCCGTTATCTATTGTGAAACAGGAACTGACCAGTGACAAAGGTCTGCTCTACTGAAAATGCATTTTTATTTAAAATGGCTGTATATCAAATTGAGTCTGGAATTTATGATGCCCAATTGATAGAATACTTGAGTGAAAAACGTTTACTATGTGTAATATTTTTCGTCATTTACAATGTACCAACAGATTTCCCATCTCATATGTCACTGGACAATGGGATGAAGAAACAACAGCACCTATGGCAGAATGTTTCGCCAAACTTCCTGACGGAGAAAAACTTCAACTCTGCCGTGTCAGGACTCGGCCCACACTGTGCGGTCTGCTCCATGTTCTGTCCCTATATGAAGGTACAACACGCTTTTGTCTCCTTTCTTTTAGAGTAGGACGAGTTTTATATATCTGCTTTATTTTCAGCCCGGAAAACATCCTTCAAGAGATCATTTAAAAACCCTTGGGACCAGAACTCGCCCGATTGTTCCGGAAATGTGTTTTAGTGCTGGAACAGAGAACACAGAGCCTCTACCCACAAATTCTTACATCGGAGAGGACGGCACCAGTCCTCTGATTGGCTGCTCGTCCTGCCACCTTCAGGTTCATGCCAGTAAGTCCACATTTCATTTTGTGTAACACTTGGCCGAGAATGTTTCTGAATCACTTGGTTAAGATGAAGACTCACTACAGTAAAGCAAACAAACTGTATTCTTATGATGCTGCTCTTGTTTGTGGTTCCCGCTTCAGGTCATCTTGACTTTGGTCTAAGCTCAAACACTGTGGTTACAATTACTTATTATTCCTGAAAGACGTTGCATTCATGTGACATCACAACATTTCAAAGTGCCTATAGTCTATATTTGTGGTGTAGTGCAGTTAAGAAATCCGTCAAAAGTCAGATCTATATTAGCCTGATCTTATCCATCCGTACTCTCCGCTCAATCATCATTCCCTGCATGTAACGTCTGGGTCTGTCCCTGTGTTTGCGATTATAATCGGTTGAATTCCATCCGACCAATCAGAGAGCGTGGGAGGTGGGTGTTGTAGTTAGATGTGGGTGACGTCAAGAGTTTGCGCCAAACGGGCAGGTTGTAGTTTGGTGAAGAGTCCAATAGTAAAGTATTCTGGTCTGGTTCTATCCAGAATTTTAAGGCCGGAGCAAGAGGAATGTTTAGCAAATGTAATCGCTGGCCAAAAATGTGGCGCTGAAAAAACATTTAATAAGTAGTAATCTTTATCTATATAGTCACAGCGGTTTACAATTGTGGGCTTTTGTCTCTCACTCCACACAGAGATGGGAGGGGCCAGTGCAGGAGGCACAGACCTATTGTACATGTTTTTAGTGGTAGAGGAAACTGGAGCACCTAGAGGAAACCTACGCAGACACAGGGAGAACATGCAAACTCCACTCAGAAAGGCTATGTTCCGACTGGTATTCAAAGGACCTTGCTGAGATGCAGGAGTGTTCACCACTTAGCCACTGTGCCGCCCAAGTTTAGACTTTTTATCCCAAAAATATCTTTATATAAACATAAACACAACCTATATCTTAAGATAATTTAAGCTTTATTGATCTCGCAATGGAGAAATTTACAATCTATGAAGACAAAAAATCCATCTGTAGTTTACACAGTTACATTTAGTGGGCCACAAAAGTGTTATTCCACCAAACCCATTACCGTCTCTGTCCAGACAGGCACAGTCTCCCTCTGGGCTCTGATTATCCCCAAAGCTGAAGTGCACCTTCAAAAACACCAGTTCATTAGTCATCCAGGACGGAGCAGGGCTCAGCTGCGGAGCTTACTATTGATAAGAGCGCATGAAGCAGAAACAAGTCTCTGACAGAAACCGCCTCTGTGTCGGAGTAAACAGCCGAAAGAGAGGAGTCGAGTCTGTCCATTTGTGAAAAACGCTCCATTCTCCATTTTGCATCTGCGTTCACTGAATATATGTTCTGCAGCTGTACCTTAACTTGTGAAGCTTGAAGGTGACAAGTCTTTCCTTTCCTTTCTCAGGCTGTTATGGTGTGAAGCCGGACTCTGTGAGCGATAACTGGAACTGCTCCCGGTGTGCAGCTGGTGAATTTACTGTGGTGAGTAACTGCTCTGTGCCATGTGGAAAACATCCACTCTCAGAATTTAGTTATAAATTATAATACATAGTTTCAACAAGTGCAAGATTATTAAAGTGGTTCTCACCCCCGCTCCTCGGAGCTTACGTCACTCACATTTCCTGTTCAAATCTTCCTCTAAATGGGCGTAGCCTGGAGGACTAAAGGGGGCGTGAACGAGACTGGGCTGTTTACATTGCTCTGGGCGGGGGGCTGCTGACGTCAGGTCTTGCTTCAGACGTCAGGTCTTGCTGCCGCGCCAGTGTTGGCGCCAGATTCAAAATTCAAATGTAGCAATACTTGTCGCCAGCAGATGGCGCCTCACAGACGGTTTTAGGCAGAAAGTTTAACTTTCAACTAATTTGCACCAAAGTGACAAAATTATGACCAGGATATGTAGACAACACTATTGGACACTCATTTTATACCGTTAATCAGCAAAAAAAAAGTGGATTTGAGGGTGAGTTGTCCTTTAAACTGCTCTGTTTAAACTGATAGTTTGTTGAAAGAAGATGTTAGCAAAATGAGATGTCCTGCATCTCAACGAACGATAAATTCTGCCAGAGGGAAGAAGCTGGAACATAGCTTTTCCAGGGACCAGAAGATTCAATGATTATTCTAAGAGCTCGGTTTAAAAGTCTGGATTCATAAAGAACCTCCAGAACAGACAGAGCACCTCTCTCCGGTCTCTCTCTCTGGTCTCCTCTCTTTGGCTGTGATGTCAAACTTTCAGTGGTGCAGCGATAAAAGTGAAGCAGAATCTTAGAGTTTTTGGTAAATTCAGTTTCAGATTTGACCTTTTTATAATAAGTCCTTACCATAAAAGGCACACCCCGACAGCTCATTTAGCCATCTGAATAAAATATAGGAAATACTGTTGTGTACCACTGTTGAAATCTCTCAACTCTCATCATTTATAATTAGACATGGCAGCGCTTTGATGTATCCCTAATTATTATAAAGAGGTGGAACGTCTGATTAAACTTGTGAAACTATCATAAATCATACATTTTGGTCGTAAACATGTTTTAAAGTTATTAAGTATAGTATATTTCTTACTTAAGCAATGTGAACTGTATGTAATTTTAACTTGTGTGTGTTTTTAGGAGTGCTGTCTGTGTAACTTAAGAGGAGGTGCTCTGAAGAAAACCACTGACAATAGGTTTGTACTTTTAAACATCAGGAAAAGTGTGTTAATCTGGAGATGTATTTACAGTGTAAATTTCTCCTGTGTGAGATCAATAAAGTTTCTTATCTCCCAACAAGGCAATCAACAGTGAATGGTTTGAAAAACATGAACTATATCCGACAATGGGCTATATGCACGGGGAGGCGTGACGTCATTTCCTGTTAACAAAGATCAGCCCGTTCACTTCCTGCCTATGCTATCCTATGGCCTCTAGTGACGTTTTTTAGTAACTGATTGATACATTCAGCTGTGAGACTGACCCAAAAGTGTCACTGTGCTTTCTCTCTGAGGTAGAGCTTCGACTGTGGCCACTCAGATTTATAAACTTTGTGCTTTTTATAATCAAAGAGCACTGCTGTGTCCCAAAAATTCCCAGTATCCTCAGTTTAATTCCCGTTTGAGCATTATTTGGGAAACTCGTGTAAACCACCGCTGAACTCCAGTGAAACTCAAGCCGTTTCCCGCGAACAGGAGGTGAAGTGGGGTTGTAGCTAGAACGCGGAAGTGGTGCGTGCATAGAGCCCATTATCAAATGTAACTCACATATAACATCACTATATATTCAAATTTCTATTAGATGTTTTATAATCCTATTTAAATTATATAGACCAGATGCGTGGGATCACACTCCTCAGCCTCCCAGATAAGGTCTACTCCAAGGTTCTGGAGAGGAGGCTGGTCGAATCTCGGATCCAGGAGGAGCAGTGTGGTTTTAGTCCCGGTCGCGGAACACTGGACCAGCTCTATACTCTCCATCGGATACTCGAGGGTTCATAGGAGTTCGCCCAACCTGTCCACATGTACTTTGTGGATTTGGAGAAGGCGTTCGACTGTGTTCCCCGGGGTGTCCTTTGGGGGGTTCTCCGGGAGTACGGGGTCGGAGGTCCTCTGCTGAGGGCCATCCGATCCCTGTATGACCGGAGCCAGAGCTGTGTTCGCATTGCCGGCAGTAAGTCAGACCTGTTCCCTGTGAATGTTGGCCTCCGACAGGGCTGCCCTTTGTCACCGGTTCTGTTCACTGTGTTTATGGACAGAATTTCTTGGCGCAGCCAGGGGTCGGAGGGGGTCCGGTTTGGAGACCACAGGATTTCATCTCTGCTGTTTGCGGACGATGTTGTCCTGTTGGCTCCAGCGAACCAGGACCTGCAGCATGCACTGGGGCGGTTTGCAGCCGAGTGTGAAGCGGCTGGGATGAGAATCAGCACCTCCAAATCTGAGGCCATGGTGCTCGACCGGAAAAAGGTGCTTTGCCCTCTGCAGGTGGGTGGAGAGGTCCTTCCTCAAGTGGAGGGGTTCAAGTATCTCGGGGTCTTGTTCACGAGTGAGGGAAGGATGGAGCGTGAGATTGACAGGCGGATCGGTGCAGCGTGCGCAGTGATGCGGTCGCTGTATCGGACCGTTGTGGTAAAGAGGGAGCTGAGCCGAAAGGCAAAGCTTTCGATTTACCGATCAATCTTCGTTCCCTCCCTCACCTATGGTCATGAGCTTTGGGTAATGACCGAAAGAACGAGATCGCGGATACAAGCGGTCGAAATGAGCTTCCTCCGCAGAGTGGCTGGGCGCTCCCTTAGAGATAGGGTGAGGAGCTCAGTCATACGGGAGGAGCTCGGAGTAGAGCCGCTGCTTCTCCACGTCGAGAGGAACCAGTTGAGGTGGCTCGGGCATCTGTTCCGGATGCCTCCTGGACGCCTCCCTGGGGAGGTGTTCCGGGCACGTCCCACCGGGAGGAGGCCCCTGGGAAGCCCTAGGACACGCTGGAGGGACTATGTCTCTCAGCTGGCCTGGGAACGCCTTGGGCTCCCCCCGGACGAGCTAGAGGAAGTGTGTGTGGATAGGGAAGTCTGGGCGTCTCTTAGACTGCTGCCCCCGCGACCCGGCAACGGATAAAGCGGAAGAAAATGGATAGATGGATAGACCAGATGCATCGACGTCATCCAGTCACGTGATTGTGAAGGAGCTTACGCCGGAGGTAGTGAAAACTAGCATTGCGGCGAGAGCAAAGCGGACTACAACTCTTAAAAACTGACACTCCTCTCATAAATCCAGACGTGGCTTCAAGCACATGTTCGATTACGTTTTCGGTGAAAGTAGGACATCTTAATGCTCAAAGAGCGGTATTTGGAGTGAAGGATGGCTGAGCTGGATGTTGACTCGTACCTTCTCCCCCAGTCAATTTTATTGATTAAATGTCCAATTTTGCCCGAGTTCACTCCACATGATCGTTATCATTATGTCGTTAACAATGCATCCCTTTAGCCTGGAGCAGATTTATATGTAAAATTAGCTGGTAGCATTAGCACATTAGCCATGCACTTTTCTGTCTACAGCCAAACATATTGAAACGCAACTGTCGTCTAAGATAAGAGATCTTTTATTTGTGCCACAGTGGGGAAATTTCAATCTTGCAGCGCACATACAGGACAGTAAGAGCACACGTTTGACTTCAAGCGTTTGTTGTTTCATGGTCCTCTAAATGAATTAATGGAAATAGATTAAATACAAAATTCTGATTGATTTATCTTGTAAAAAGTGTACTTGGATGGCTCCCAGTCCTTTTGGTTGATTGCCGCTGGCCATAGTCTTCATGACAAGCAGGTATCAGATAAAAGGACACATTTGGCTTGCCTGTTAGTACAACCAACCGCACCCCCAAATATCAGTTTTGGCTGTTATTCGCTGAAAGGTTGTTTTGGTAAAGTTTCCGAAGGCTTGCAGTTAGACTTACGCCTTCAGTCATGGAGAGTGGGCGTGGCCGGGACGTTTCATGCAAGGGCTCAATACAATATACATGATTTAGAAAATTATAAATATGAATATGATGTCGGTATGATCATCACCATATGACAATCTGTGATTCTCAAAGACCTATAAGGTATTAAGGAAACAATATTTATTATAACAATATTTTTTATAACATGAACAAAAACAAGGTATGAGGTGTGAGCATGTTGTAATCAGTGTGTGGTGCAGGTGTATGAGTGCATTGAAAGCCAGTGTGTGGTGTGCAGTGAATGTGGTGCATAAAACAAAAGACAAACTCAAATGTGCAAATACGGAATAAGCATGTTGGCTCCAGGTAGAGCCCACCAGGACAGGACCAAATGAGACAGCAGCACAGGAGAGAGTGAGCAGCTCCCAAATCCCAGGTGAAAAGGACCATTGATGAGGGGTGTGGCATGGTGCAGGTGTGGACCTGCAAACAGATGGCACCCTCTCCAAAAGACGTTCCATCCATAGTAACTGACATTTTCTCCAAACATGTATGACCGTCGAAGTAGATTCAAGCCATGTATCTTAGAAAAAGCGCTGGCCCCGGGACTTGGGGTCTCCACCGTGCCGTCCCAGTGTCGCTTGCACGGTGGGCTGAAGCATTCTCGCTCCCACCAGAACAGTCCCTGTTGTCCCCAGTTGCTTCATCAGAGCTTGGCACCAGCAAATACTGTGAAGCCCAGCTAGAGTGAGAATCAACAGCAACACCACCACATACGGTACTTCCTTCTCCAGCAGCTTCCAACCAAAATGCAGTAGAGAAAGTCCAAATTGTACCGTTGCACTCTCAATAGGACCAGTCACACACCTCAGAGCCTAGCATCTCTTTGGCATTTAGCTCTAGACTTGAGTGTGGAATGACAGAAGAAATAAACCCGCTATGGCCATAAGTGTTCCTGACCCCACGATGGCTGCTCTGGTCGTGACCGATCTGTAACACACATCACAACAATTGAAAGAAACCACCACCGGGTGCACAGGATCACCCACTAATCCCTCCAAAGCAACAGACTTCTGCTTCACCACCAAGACGTCGTGTGTCACCGAACAGGGAGGAACGAGCACTGAAATATTGTTAGGAACAGAAACAAAAACTTCTTCCACCAGGTACAGGAACCGGCACAGGGAATTCATTGTCAGCAAGATCTTCCTCACTTTCAGGTCCCACTCATTTCGAACGTGTAAACGCACAAAAAGTAAACCCCTCTGGAACCTGCCTCTCAATTTCATCAGGGTTACTACATACCACAGGCGAATCAGACACCTGGACTGGAGGAGGTACATCAGCCCAGACCCGGCTACCTGCAATATCATTGCCCAAGATCAGTTACGCCAGTTTGTAAACTGCTTTGTGACCCTTGTCTGTGAAAGGCGGTATATAAATAAACATTACTTACTTACTTACATCTAATGGCAATGCTGGGCGCACTCCCATAGACACCTCCTCCTGGGAAAAAAATTACAATGCAGAACAACTTCATGACATGGAACCCCCATTACTTTAAAAGCCATTCCCACAACTGGAATCTGAGCCAGTGAAAGTCACTGCTGAGAACTGCAAAGCTTTCGTTTCAGGATCCCCTTCATTGAAACGTGGAACAAGCTTCAAGTCACTAAGTTCATCCTTTGTATGTTCAGACCTAGGACTACTCTGCATTTCCTGTCTCTTCAAATCCAGTTTCTGTCGCTCAATGTCAAGTTTAGCTAATTCAACCCTCTACCTCATTTTCTCAAATTCCCTTTCAGCGTCCAATCTCAACAAGAGCAACTCTTTCTGCTCTTCCAAAGTCAAACAAGTCACACCCACAGGTGAAACCAAAATGCCCATTCCAAATAATTTTTCCTTTAAATTGCTCTTTAGAACACTCTTCAGTACAGTTGAATTCCCAGTATCAACCTTGTAACACTCTGCAATTGCAATTAAATGTCTTTTAGTGCAGAGCTCCAAACTACTCTCACATGGTGACTCCAGAAAATCTTCAACCACTTCATCCATGATAACAAAAAGACCCCCTGAAGCTTAAGCGATAACCTACTAATGTACTACAAAGCCAAGGATACCCTGCTGTTAAAGCTAGTTCAAAACTACAGTACCTAGGCAAAAGCACACAACAAACAAGGTAATAGTTTTATACTTGCATGCAACAAGGAGGGGATGGTTTTATGGCGGCGAAGGAGGCATCTGCGTCCTCTGCAACCCAAAA